TTTAATATCAGATGGCACCTTCTTGTAAAGAGTAGGGGTGAAACCCCGGTGTCCTGGCCAAATTCCCTTCATTGGCCTTTACCCATTATGGCTTCTCAATCATTCCCATCAACTTAATTGGCTCTATCACTGTCACTGTCTCCATCAATAGCTGGTGTGTGGTGAGCGCACTGGCGCCATTGTCCTCTGGCTGCTGTCACATCATCCAAGAGGATGCTGCACACTGGTGGTGGTATGGAGAGACCCCCCTCATGATTGTGAAGTGCTTTGGGTGTTTGGTCATACACAAGTGTGGACAGCTAAGGGCATACGTGTTACAAAAATAGCTGTTAGGAAAGTCTACTCGCAAACACCACTGGACTTTAAAACAACAATAAATCAGGAATCTCAGTTTGTTGAAAGCATACAGTTCAACGTACCATACCCTACTGTCAAATAATCAAGGTGTGCTGTAATAGTTTCAAAGTGATAGTCCTGCCTGAATGAACTGGCCCACACCAGGCATTAATGTGGGCTGTGTACAAGTGTGGGCTACTCATATAGAACCCACAGAAGTTACAGGCTAGCCCTCTCTGCAGGGCCGGAGCAAGCTGAACTGCAGAGGACGATCACACCGCCCTCAACCCCAATGTGAAAATGAAAGTGACCGGATATGAAAATGAAGTGAGGTGTTGCGGACCTCTATTCTGCCGCCCTATGCGTGGATATAACTGAGGATGCGCGGGTGCTGAGGGAGGGAGTGAGGGATGTGTCGCGGACACCGCGTTCTATTCTGCCGCCCTATGCGCGGATATAACTGAGGACGTGCGGGTGTCGCAGACCTCTATTCCGCATCACTATGCGCGGATATAACTGAGGACACGCGGGTGCTGATGAAGGTGTGGCTGATGCCGCCCTCTCTATTGCGTCTATGCGCGAATATATCTAAGGACGCAGGTGGTATCGGAGGTGTCGCGGATGCCGCCCTCTCTATACTCCCGCCCTAGGCGGCCGCCTAAGTCACCTCTATGGACGCGCCGGCCCTGACTCTCTGGGCCTGTTTAGATTTGATGTGGCCTGGCTATAGCTTACTATGAACGCAAAAAGCCAGCATTGGCCCTGCATGAACATGCTTACTTGGAACAAACACTAGGTGATGACCATAGATAGATACTCTAGATATCGCATAGGGACCCTGAGCATGCGTCAACAGCGCACCATATTTGTACAATTTTCCCAGGACAAGTGTCATTCAACTGCACTAGTCAAGACAGTGTTATTACTTGAAATGCTGGACTTTGGCGCAGTCATCGGGTGTTATGAGCAAACAAAGAAAACAAAGCACAACAGCAGAACATTTAATAGGTAAGATTCAGTTTTTTATGTTTTTGTATGTTATGAATTTTTGTGCTAAGCAGGTTATTGATGATAATGCGGTCACTTTACTGCATTCACCATAAGGCAAAGCAGCACTAACTTACACTAAATACTCGGCTTATGCTAGTTTTGTTGAATAAAATCAGCAAACAATGCAAAGGAAATATGACAACGAGATTTTGCGCTGCCAAAAACTTGTATTATTGCCAGCTAAATGAAGGAGTATCATGACGGGGATTCATTCACAACCGAGTCGCTCTCTCCGTCAGTATGAGAAGTGAAAGCAGGAGAGGAGGAGTGTTTCAGGACATGATTAGATCAAATTTAACAGGCAGGGCGGATAGTCCATACACACAAACACAAGCTTTTTGTCAGGAATGCCTGTGTGATCACTAGGGCCAGACGGAATTATTTTTTAATTCTCTGTTTTTATTGTTGTGATTATTTTTATGATAGTTTTGCAATCTTTATGTAAATCACTTTGAATTACCACTGTTTATAAAATGTTCTACAGTATATTTAACTTGCATTGCAGTGTCATGTATTGGACAAAATGACAGAGAAAATAGACATATGATCATTTTTCAGTGCAGCTAAACGTCAAGTACAAAAACTTCACATGTTAAGCAATTTGGCTTTCAGAATGAGTGCTTATGAAAATACTAATGTCACATTATCAATCACAGGGAAAGGGGAAAGAAATGATTGAGGAACAGGCAGAGCAGGGTCTGTCAGATGTACAGTGTCAGGTAAGGGTGTTGTGCTTTTATTGAAGGAATAATGACATTTCTTTTGGGGTGAACCATTTTTTAATGTTTTCGGAGTTGTGGCTGTTTACCGGCTTTCACAGGCTCACTGATTTACAATATGATCTGTAAATTTAACAAATGTAATGTAAACAAGTTAGTTATTATGAGTGTGGAAAATGTCTTTTTCTGCATTTATTCTGCTTCAGGAGTCAGTCTGTTGACTGTAAACAACAAAACAAACAATGCAATAAATAGTTTTGAAGTAAAATTTGCTTTGTTGTTGAACCTGAGAAAAACTTTAAAATAATAATAGTGACGTAGTCTCCATGCTATAATAAAAATGATGAAACCATTTTTAACTGTGGGGACATATCTTTATTAGTACAATTCGGTTGTATTATTTGTGTCCTCTTCAAAAAAAAATGCTCGAAAGAAATTTGATATTTATTGTGCCCGCCCATGATTCTACCGGAAGACGCTGCAAATGCTACCAAATGGTTGACCATATTTGACTGACCCTATCTTATTGAGAGAAGAACCTAACTTAACTAAACCTGAGCCATCTCTACCACTTGATTGAAGTATGTTATGCCAAAAAAATCCACTAGTTGTCACTAACTCAATCAAAAGCACTCGTCACAACATTGCTTCTACATCAAAATCAAAAACAAGAAAATCAGTCCTGACATCATGTGAGTTGTTCTTAGTAAAAATGTGTAAGGTAAGCTTATTTTTTTTAAAATTACCCTCTAAGAGCCCTAACTTTACAAAGTTATGTTACTTGGTGCCATGGAAAATATTTAGTGTGTTTGTACAAATTTTTCAAAAACATGCTCGACCAAATGGTTGATTTGTCACTTTATGTCAAAGGTAAAAAAGCAAAACTAATATTTTTATATCATGCATTTCTGCAGTCTGAATGGACTGTTTGCTGAGAAATAATAACTTTTGATCATTCACAGAATAAATATGATACAGCTTGTTATTTATTCATGAATATACTGAAATAATTTCTTAAGTATATTTTTCGACACTTTTAGGACTTTTGGAGTTAATAGAATACATTTTTAGAACTTATGTGTGGAAATAACAACTTTTAAAGATAATTACCTCTTAAATGGCAAATACTGGTGTACCAGCATTAGCACAATTGTAAGATATTTATAATTGATTGTTTGTTTGTTTTTTGTAAATATTTGATGGATGTCAATAGTTTCTATTGTACAAGAACTCGCATCACCAGGCCCTTTTACCAGAAAATCCCTTTACTGATTAAATAATTTAGCATGTTCACTCACAAACATACTCTCTCTCTCTCTCTCTCTCTCTCTCTCTCTCTCTCTCTCTCTCTCTCTCTCACACACACACACACACACACACACACACACACACACACACACACAAATCGTACTTTCGATTGCTCTAACCCCAAATCTTATCTCTAAACCCAACCCCTACAGGAAATTATTTGTAGTTTTACTTTCTGAAAATGAAATATATTTATTAGGATTGCATGTCATACATAATGTCCACATAATTCATCATCTCCTCGTAATATCTGTGTAATACCGATGTTGTTATACATATACATGGTCACACGCACACACACAAACACATATAAATACACTCTTTTACACACTCATATACTCTCTCTTTTACACACATACACACACATGCACACACAGGTACAATCCCACTGTTTCCCACACTCTCTCTTACACACATTATTCACTCACACACACACACACACACACACACACACACACACACAAACACACCCACACTTTGGGAGTTTTTGAAGTTTGATTGATTGGTTAATACCTTAAAATAAACAGGAGTTCCATCTTCTGGAAGCACTCGAAGTTAAACTAAACAAGCAAACTAAATCCTGTTGCACTAATTCACTTGATTTTGGTTTTATTATTAAAAAGATAAATAAATAAACGTGTCCCTGCTGAAAAATCCAGCTTAAACCAGCCTAGGCTGGTTGGCTGGTTTTAGCTGGTTGACCAGGCTGGTTTTAGAGGGGTTTTGGCCATTTTCAGGCTGATTTCCAGCCATTTCCAGCCTGGTCTTAGCTGGTCAGGCTGGAAAATGACCAGCCAAATCCAGCTAAAACCAGCTTGACCAGCCTGGTTTAAGCTGGATATAGCTGGTTTTGGCTGGACTCCCAGCTTGGCTAGGCTGGTCAAGCTGGTTTTAGCTGGTCATCTCCCAGCCTGACCAGCTAAGACCAGGCTGGAAATGGCTGGAAACCAGCCTGGAAGTGGCCAAAACCCCTCTAAAACCAGCCTGGTCGACCAGCTAAAACCAGCCTGGATTTTTCAGCAGGGATACTGTATATTACTATGTTAAATTAAAATCTGAAATATTTTATGGCTTAGGCTTTGATTTAGTATTAAAAATGTTTTATTTTGATTTTGTTTTAATTAAATTGGTCTTACACTTCATATTTTTAGATTTTTATATTATATTTTTATTAATACTGGTACTTTTACCATAAATCAACATCTCAACCATTTGGTAAACCATAAAGGACCACCAACTCGCACTAAACACTCGGCTTTCGCTAGTTCTGTTGAATAAAATCAGCAAACAATGCAAAAGAAATACGACAACGAGATGCTGCGCTGCCAGAAACTAGTAGTCGGCTAAGAGAACGAGTCGTTCATAACGGAGATTCATATACAAACGAATCGCTTCCTCCGGCAGTATGAGAAGCGAATGCACGTACGTGGCTCTGGATGGCCACAGTCCTCTAGCTTGGTCCCGCATTTATTTCAAGGGAGCGCTACCCTGTACTAAAATGGCGCCTCTGTTGACGCATTCCTTCCAATAGCCAACAACAAGGTAGGCGACATCTAATGTATATATCTATGCTGTCTTATGAACGACAAAAGACAAGAATGGCTCAGTCGATCAGCGGACACACTCATGTTTCGAGGGACTTTGAGGGATCTGGGTGTCAACCAGTATCCGACGCAGTGAGTTGTTCTTAAGTATTTTCCCATATTTCTCACGTATTTTTACTCTTTCTATGAAAAGTGAAAGTAGCGGGAGCCGATCTCAAATGTGATATGTGAACAACATTGTTCAAGAGAATTATGCTTTCGTTTTAATTTTACTTGAAAATACGTTGAAAGTAATTTTTAAACGACCAAATTCACTTCATTTCCTTTAAAGCTGTGCGTCGACCATCGACTTTACTATTGCCAACTCTTTGGGAGTGGGCATAGTTAGCTACTTTGAAAAGTAAGCTAAATGTTGCCAGATGACATCATGCACTAATTTGCATATCAGTAACGTCATCACGTAGGACCTGACAAGCGTAGTCTATGGAAGGCCGTTGGGGCCAAAACAAATGCAACAAACGCGTTAACACGTTTTTTTTCTAAACTAGTCTCATCTTTTAAAGCACAATCATTTAATCATTTCTCCAACCTGCTCATTTTAAAATGTACAATGTAATTTCACTTAAATCACATTAAATGTTTTGAAGTCAGTGATCTGTAGCAGATATTTTGTATTATGAAAGGCCAGACATCTTCTATAATGTTCTGTTTGATGGCCTGGGACATTATAATGTTTGTTATTCAGCTGCTGAAATTTATTTGAAAAGTGTGTCCAGAGAAATAAGAAAAAGCTTTATACGACAAGTGTGCACAATCACACAATAAATGTTTTCTTTTTCAGTACATACATACAAATCAACACAAGAACACAGAATGACATTGAAATAAGGGGTTATAAAGTAAATAATAACACATTTTGGTTACAAAATCATAAACAGTATGAACTGTATTCAAAACTCTATTGAAAGGATCAGGAGGATTTTTGGTGGCCTGGTGTTTAATTTGTCCTGCTGCCAGTCAGACTTTATACAACAATATAATTATTGTCATTTAATATTATTCACCATTACACTGTAATGAAGTGATCAATTTAAACAGCATTTAAAAAATCTTAATCTGTTAGACTTCTGGCAGCAATGCACTATGCTTCAATTTATATCTTCTCTGTGCCTCCACAAAAGCACTTAAACAGACATGGGAGGATGTGAGAGAGTGGCCAGGTGAAGCCGAAAAGGAAAGGAAAGGGCAGGTAAAAAAAAAAAAAAAAAAAAAAAAACAGCACGTCAAGAAGAAGCAGCAGCTAAAATGCCTTCTACTACAATCAAAACATTTTTTTTTGTTGAATCAATTTAATTGTAGCACCCATTGTGGATCTAAATGAATCAAGTAAATTTAAACTTCCTTGGATGTGTTTTATGAACACAATTTAAATGTGTAAATTCAACATGGTTGTAATAGGTCTGTGTAACTACTATGCAGCTAATTGAATTCAAATGCGTTGTGTTTTCTGACTAAATGTATTCTTCGATTCACTCGATGTCAGTAAAACACTTCAACTCAAGATACTTCTTTGTTACAAGTTTTGGTCTTGTCCATGTATGGTTATTAAAATCTGGTGTGTTACTTCAATTCGATTCGTCTTAGTTGGCAGCACAGAAGTTCAGTAATCTACAAAAAGTACATAAAGCATGCAAACTATTTAACTTTTTTACTTTTTTCATTAGACAATTACAACATTACTACATCAGTCTTGTTCAAGCTCATGCACCAGTGTTCACGCCCCAGTAGCTTGTTTTGAAGGGATCAGTGCAAAAATTAAATCATCAACATGCAAAAGGAACTGCAAGTGCATTTCATATTTGTCTCCAAGTAACTTATGCCAAGAATAAGTTCTCCATATACATGTGGAACACCACAAGTGCAGAATCCTAAAGTTCAATCTGCTAAGCATGCGCAGTGACTTCTTCTTATAAGGTTTAATTGGTGGGTATAAGAACCAGTTTATAAGTGCATACTGCCACCTACTGTGATGGAGGCGCACAGTAACTCACCAGAGAGAGTCGTTCATATGAAGAGCTTAAATCTCATTCAATTACAGTTGTTTCTGATTGCTTAAGCACAATTTTGAAATGAAGGCTCATTTTGTCAAAACACTACACACAATTTACACTTTCACACACAAACAGCAGAACACATCAGAACTTTTGCAAAATGAAACGCTTCATCCAAAACTTTACAACACTATAACAAAACACAATTTTGACATTGTACAGAACACACACGCTTCATTCAATATAAATCTGTTTGCTTCATTTACACACTGCTGTAATCAATCTTAAACACTTGTATCATTTTAACTGACTAATACTGATATAATCAGGGTTTGAGAGATATTGCCATAAAGTACATGAACATACTGTATTCACCAAACGGTGACCAGTGATAGACTCATAGCTAAATATTGCCCTATCCTAACAAACCATACAACAATGTAAAGCTTATTTATTCAGCGTTCTGGTGATGTATACATTTCAATGTAAAAAATTCCATCCCCTGTCTCCTGTTTACCAATCTTCCTCACTTTCGTGCTTCCTCTTCCATACTGCAACATTGGCTTATTTATTGAAGATTAATATTTATAGCTCCTCTAAAACATATTTATTGAACACTAATATTTATTGCTATACTACTGTAAACATGTTTATTGAAGACTAATATTTATTGCTATACTACTGTAAACATGTTTATTGAAGACTAATAGTTTATACTTATTGCTTTTTTATTGTGGTTACAGCTGATTTGTTTGTCTACAGTTTTGCAGCAGTGTGTGTGTGCACACCTGATGGCTGTGTTTAACCCATTGTTCATGTGTGTGTTCATTTAAAGGCCTTTGCTTCAGTTGGTATTTCAGTGTGGAGTTTGCATGTTCTCCCTGTGTTGGCATGGGTTTCCTCCGAGTGCTCTGGTATTCCCCACAGTCCAAAGACATGCGCTATAGGTGAATTGAATAAACTAAATTGGCTGTAGTGAACATGAGAGTGTATGGGTTTTTTTTAGTACTGGGTTGCGGCCGCTGCTTCAAACATATGCTGGATAAGTCGGTTAAGTCGGTTATATGCTGGATAAGGCGGTTCTTTCTCCCCTTTCTCCAAAAACTTTGTTACTCACAATATCACAATTAAAAAGCCAAAAGTTATGTTTTCTAAATGCAAATTAAAACAGTAATACAGTTTTTCGGATTTATTTTACTGTCTATGACCACTGAGAAGCCTTGACGCATGGTCTTCTTGTGCCAGCAGTCGTCGTCAGAGCTGTGGGTACGGCATCATCAGAATGCTTCCTACATCAGTACTTTTGATTTGGGATACTGGTAAACAAGTGATTTTAAGGACTTAGGGCGTACTCAAACTATGCTATCCGAACAGTGCCCAGGCCTGTTTCCCAGATCGTTTGAGAAGTGTGAGTGCGCTGAATCGGGCTCAGGCCCAGATCAAGGAAACTGTACATAGTGTGTGAGTATGTCGTGTTCGGTTCCTTTTCTTTCAATCAGCAATCGAGTCAGTGGGTCTTGATTTCAAAAGTTGGATTTATTGCCAGACAATAAAAACGAGAGGCTAACAGACAAACAAATGTCTCTCCATGAACCTCTGCCTCTCTGTGTCCCTGTCTTGCTTTTATACATGTAGTGTTGCAGACTTTTCCCACAGATATGGTCTTGTGCTGTGAACCTGCTATATTTTTGGCTGTGCCTTTTGAACTCAGGTATATTCTTGGCTGTTTGCCCTTTAGGTGCTGGTTTAAAGTTTACATGTACTCAGCTAACTACTAGGCTTGCTCTTACTGTTATACATTCACTTCACACTTATTTGTACACATATTAATATGATTATACAGAATAACATGTTCATTGCATATGTTAAACAATATATGTTTACTTGCACACTTGCACACAATTGGAGATATTTACTGCATATTCACTGCACACTTTACCCAATATATGTTCACTGCACACTATTAGAGAGAAGATCAAATCCTTAACATACAAATATATGTTCACTGCACACTATTGGAGACAAGATTACAATTTCTCCGTCATATTCCCTCCTCTTAAGACTTTTTCTGAAGTCTTAATATTATTGTTTTTTACCCATAGTGCAATTTCACAATCCGGTTCCCTTAGTTACCACTATCTAGTGACTGATATTAGCCACATAATAGTTACCAATTGACCAGATTATGCTACCGCACTGTGGCAGAAGTAGAAGCCAAACATCTACCCCTACTGTTGACATAGGGATAGTAAAAGACTTCTTCCTCTGTTTTTTCTGTTTCATAGAAAATAGTGTTTAAAGCATGAGCGTGCAATTGGTTCAGCACTTGCCTGTGGGTGTCACAGTTATGTAGAATACAATACTATATATAGATATTGTTATCATTAATCTTTTACACACATAATATATCTCACACAATAATCACAAACATCAAAAGTAGTTGCCCATCACAACGTGTTCCTCTTCAGCCCAGATACTTTGCGCATCGTTGAGGGCTTCCCTTGGGGTAGAGGTTCTAGCACTTACACCCAGGGTATGAATCATTTGTATTCCTTTTCTTCGTCTGAGCTTTCAGACTCTTCAGAACTTGTTGATATTTGAGTTTGCCATTTAAGTTGATCTGCCCAGTGCCCAGACTGTCCATAATGGTCATTTACAAGCATCATTTTCCCACGTCCGTGATATTGTAGCATTTCCATTTGCTTTGTTGAAGCTTTGACAATTAATGATTTTAATAATGGCAGTACACAACAAAATAATAATGCTCCTATTAATATTGCCACACCTAAAAACATTCCCATTTTAGCTAGCCAGGCTCCCCATGCTCCTAGTTTCAGATCAAACCAGTCCCACATTTTTTCATCTCTCCCCGCATTTGTAGCCATCTCTACCTGTAATTCTTTGAGTTTTGTCATAGCTTTTGTAAACGTACCTTCTGGCGCTGTATTATTTGGTATATAAGTGCAACACTGGTCGCCAAAGAGCACACATACGCCCGATTTATCCGCTAACATCCAATTAAGCGCTAATCTATTTTGCCATGTCATTCTACTAGTTGCATCTAATTGTTCCCCCAATGACATTAATGCTTCATTTGTGTGATTAATAAATCTTTGTTGGTTGTAGTAAATGTAATTTATCCATTCTGTGTTTTTGTTTTGTGATATCCAAATAAGTATTGATTCAATTCCTGATTTAACCTCATTTCTTGCTTTGAATTGATCTGGTATACCTCGTGGCTGACCTATGGAATCTATGTATACTGTAGGGTCTGGTTTATAACTTCTTTTAACTCTATAATTAATTGTGTCACTTTCACCTATTGTAGATTCAGTATCCCAATTTATAACTTGTATTTCTTGTATTATACGTACTCTAGTACAGGTACCAGTCCATCCTAAGGGTAAAGAAGGTAACAGCTTTCTATTCCCACACATCCAAAAGAAGTCTGCTAGTGCTAGCGTTTGATCCTTATATCTATCTATATCAGGTAAAGCTATAGTTTGATTTTCACAATTTTTTGCTGGCTCTATTATCTTTCCATGTTTTGTTCCTGTTGCTCGAAATGATGACGCAAATGGTGGATCGTCATAATTTCTAAGAGTTTTTTGTGGATCAAGATTCCAAATTACACTACATTTTCCTTTAAATTTGCCAACATCTACTACTCCTGAAGGTTTAACAAAACATTCATATTCTTTTGTGTAATCAATAGAAAACCATAGAGGAATTTCTACTTGAATATTTTTCACTTTTAAATTTTCATTAATGCCAAAGCTTCTACATTTAGATTTCAAACGTCCAACATGTCTAAATAAAGTTTTTAGTGTTGAGTGGCTTAAGTAACCCAAACATTCAGCTGGACAGAAAAGTCTCAAGTCTTGTTCCATATGACAGAAATCTCTGTTAAATTCAGCACAATGTTCATAAGTGAAAGGATTTGGGACCACAACCACTTGACTCATTGGAGTTTTTGTACAGAAAAGGCAGTTCTCTTTGCTAATTTCTGATGCTGTGAAAGAAGCCCATTGAAACCATTGATTACTCTGTGCTGTTTCCAAAAGTATGTCTAGTTCTGTGTGTTCCTCGTGAATGACGTACAAGTTATCAACATCCCTTCGCTGTTTTCCATATTCTTCTAGTGGCAGTTCACTTGTATTGGCACTACTACTTTCATTCCTTAGTGACTGCAGTGTGGTCCGCATGGAAGTGTAATTGGGCCTTTGAGTTATGCTTCCTGTATCTGAGATGTTTCTCATAAGTTGGAGGTCGTCATTGAGAGTGGTTGGATTTTGAGTTATATTGTTTCTAGTGGCTTGATTTTGTGGCATGTATATGATGCTTAGACATATTATCATAGTCACTTGTCTAATAGTTTTATTCATCATTCTCTGCCACATTTTGCTCACCATCACTCTCTGCTGTGGGCTTTTCTGGGCTGGCAGTTTCCCGCTGGTGGTCTCCTGCTGTCACTTTCTCCTTTGGAACCCTCGTGCAGTGGTTTAGATGGTACCACGTTGTACTCCCCTCCACTTGAATTGAAGTTGGGGTGGCTCTCACAACTCGATATGGTCCTTCCCGTCTTGGCTCATTCCACTTTCTCCGGAACACCTTTAGATACACCTGATCACCTGGCACCACCGGTCCTGGCGTTTCTCCCTTCTCAGGTGGCTGTCGCCTGGTTTCCTGGACATAAATAGCTTTGTGTATTGCAGTTAGTTTCTTCATATATGATTTTAATTCCATTTGTAATTGTTCTAGTGGTGGTCCTTTATAGGGCCCTCTACAAAAAGGTGCAGGCATAGGCCGGCCTGTTAGCATTTCATGCGGTGTTAGATGTGTGTTTCTATTAGTTTGCATGCGGTAACTCATTAAAGCAAGAGGCAAAGCATCCACCCAGTTAAGTTTAGTACTGGCACAGATTTTGTTAAGTTTAGCTTTTAAGGTTCCATTGACTCTTTCAACAATTCCTTGTGATTGTGGATGATAAATACATCCTAGTCTTTGCTTTATTCTTAAATGTTGTAATACTTGTTTGAAAGTTTTTTGGACAAATGCTGATCCATTATCTGAACTAATTTCTGATGGTATTCCAAATCTAGGTATTACTTCCCTAGTTAAAAATTTAATAACTGTTCCTGCTCCCAGATCTGCTGATGGTACTGCTTCCACCCACCTACTGAACCTATCAATTATCACAAGCATGTATCTTTTGCCTTGGACTCGTTTTATCATATCTACGTAATCCATTACCAAATGTTTAAATGGTCCTTCAGGTACTGGTATATGGCCTATAGGTGTTGCTGTTCCTTTTCTCACATTATATTTAGCGCAAATTTCACATGAGGACAAAAACTCACCAACCATTGCATGTAAATAAGGAGACCAATATCCTTGTTGTTTGATTTTTTTTATTACTTCTCCTTTTGCACAGTGATCAAAACCATGTGCATCTGATATTAAAATATTTAGAAGTGCTGTTGGTGCAACAATTTGCCCTTCATGTGTACGCCAAATATCGTGTGAGTCTTTTTTAGCCCCCCTTTGATGCCACATTGATTGTTCATAGGGACCTGCTTGTTGTTGTATTCGTACAATATCATCTAATTGAGGTTGTGGCTCTATTAGCACTACTGGGGTTAGAACTGCTACTTCACACCCTGATGCTTTTTTAGCTTCTAAATCTGCCATGTTATTTCCTTTTATGACAAAGTCATTTCCTTTTTTATGTGCTTGACACTTTATTATTGCCAATCGTTTTGGTTGCATCATTGCTGAAATTAATTCACTTATTTGTTCTGCATGTTGGATAGGAGACCCATCAGTTTTCTTAAAGCCTCGTTGTTTCCATACTGCTCCGAATAAGTGACATACACCATGTGCATATGCTGAATCTGTATAAATATTTGCAGTAAGTCCCTTTGCTAATTGGCAAGCAGTAGTAAGCGCTTTTAATTCTGCTAATTGAGCAGAGCATGGTTGAACACAATGATGAGATATTACTGATACAAATTCTTCCTTCTCTTTTTTGACTACTGCATATCCTGTATGGATTCCTAAATGGTCCCTAAAACTTGAACCATCTACAAAATAAGTTACTTCTGCCTCAGGAAGGGGTATAGATTCAAGATCTGGTCTTAATCTAGTAAATGTTAATGAATTTGCCACACAGTCGTGTGGTTCTCCTTCAAATGCTAATGGAATTAATTCAGCTGGATTAACTGTTTTACATCGCTTAATAGTTACATCTGGATATGTTAATAGAGTTGAATAAGCTAAAATGCGAGCTTGAGTTAAAACAAATTTTCCTTGTTCTATTAACTCTACAGTTTTATGGTGAGTATAAATTGTGACTGGATAACCCATGGTTATTGATGATGCTTTTTCATAAGCATAATGAATTGCTGCGAGACCTTGTTGATAGCATGGTGGAAAACCTTGAGCTGTATTATCAAGTTTAGTGCTATAGTATGCTATAGGCTGCTTTTTTCTTCCGCTACAAGTTTCTTGCATTAGTACAGCTGATGCGTAACCATCCATTCTATTTGCTACATACAAAGAAAATTCTTTAGAGTAATCAGGATTTCCTAATGCTGGTGTTTTTTGTAATTCTTTTTTTATTGTTTCAAATGCTATCCTTGCATCTGTATTCCATGTTAATGAGTTTTTTAAGTTTTGTAATCCTGCTTGTTTCATAAGCTCTCTTAGTGGTGCTGTTTTTATTGCATAGTCCTCTACCCAGTCTGAACTAAAACCTGTCATTCCTAAAAAAGTCATCATTTGTCCTACTGTTTGGGGTAATGGTGTTTTACTTATTCCTTCCAACTGAGCTGGAGCTATAGCTCGTATACCAAAGGCAATCAATCGTCCCAAATATTCAACCTGAGGTTGACAGTACTGCATTTTGTTTTTAGATACTTTATGACCTCCTTGTGCCAACTTAGTGAGGACTTTAATTGAATCTTTATGACATTGTTCTAATGAAGGAGAGCAGATGATTAAGTCATCTACATATTGTAACAGAGTACTGTCCATTACAAGATCCTCCAAATCTTCTTTAAGAATTTGGTTGAATACATGTGGCGAATGCTTGAACCCCTGGGGCATTCTGGTGTAAGTATATTGTTTACCCCCATATGTGAAAGCAAACAAGTACCTACTTTCTTTTGCTAATGGCACACTGAAATAGGCTGAACAAAGGTCAATCACTGTGAAATATTTAGCATTAGGAGGGACATTTGTCAAGAGTGTATGTGGGTTAGGAACTTCAGCTGGAAAATCCTCTACAATGTCATTAATTGCCCTTAAATCATGAACCAGACGCCATCTGTTTTTATCTGCTTTAATTACAGGCATTATCGGAGTGTTACAATAACTGGTTGTTTCTTCTAATACACCTGCTTTTAATAAACCCTCAATAGTGTTTTTGATTCCTAATTCTGCCTCAGGCCGCAATGGATATTGTGCTTTTCTGGGCAGTTGGGTATTTGGTTTAATTTGAACTCTTACTGGATTTGCTGATTTTATCAAGCCAACATCATTATCATATAAAGACCATAATTCTGGTGGCACTTGGCATTCCATTTCTTTAAACATTTCAGTTTCTAAGTCATTTATTAATTCTGATGTTGTACTCATTTGTGTTATTTTGTCTTGTCCGATAATAACTTCTTGGGGAATTCCCATCAAATTGGTTGTACACACAATTTTGATATAATTTTCATCATCTGACTGAAAGATTAGTGGATTTTCTGTTGATACCCATTTGCTCTGTTCTGCCTTTTTTACCATTTGTCCCAAATCTTTTGTTTTCCAGTTATTTCCAACATATATAGCTATATGTGGAACTGAATCTGTAACATTAAACCATTTTTCAGCAAATTTATTTTTTACTATGGTTAGAGCTGCTCCTTGCTTACCTAATATGATGTGTTGTGAGATCATTTCAATTTTTTGCCCTTCTGTCTCTTTCTGCCATTGCTGTTCTATGTCTGGATTTCTTTCAGAATCATAAACCATTGTGCAATGGAAACCTGATTTTGGTATCTGTGCTTCATCAATTTGTGCTTCAATGTATTTTCCCCATTTATTTATTGTTTGTTTTACATCATTTTCTATTTGTCCTATCCAATACACATTAGCTTTTGGTTCGGTAATTACCATTTGATTTTCAATTCCTTTTGCATCTATATACACTCCATCTGAAGTACACCAAATATGTAGTCCTAATTTACATAATGCATCTCTTCCTAGCAAATTGACAGGAGTTTGACTTGATACTAGAATGGGTAGCGTCACACTTTGATTTTTAGTTTGGATACAAACTGGAGTAGTCATTGGAATTAATTGAACTTTTCCCGAGAATCCTATTGTCTTTGCATATTTACCAGACAGGGGAAGATGTGACGCATAATTTGAATTAACAGAAGTGTAAACAGCTCCAGTATCAAGGAGCATTGGTATTGTTTTTCCCTCTATTTTAATTGGTAGCATAGGTTCTTCGTTAGCATTAGTTGTTAACATTGGAAGCTGATTATCCCCTATAGGATTCTCTGGGCATCTTCAATATCCCTTATTGGGTCCTCTCCAAGGATTAACTGGACCTTGGTTAGGATTTGGATATGTTTGATGCCAAGTTACCTCCCTTCCACCCCGAGGAAACTGCTCCCATGGATTGGTGGGACAGTCTTTTTTGGTGTGTCCTGATAATCCGCAACCCCAACACATGCCTGTAGGTGTCACATAGGCTTTGCCATTCCCTCTTTGCTCTCTGGGTCTTTTTCTCCAGGTCGCGGCTGCTGGCTGTTGGGTATAAATGTTTATTATGGGTGGAGTCATTTGGGTATTAGCTGGATGTTTAGCTTGTGAGGCAGACTGCATAGCTGGTGCTGGAGCTGTAACTGGAGCCATCATTGTTAGTGGTTCCCCCTCCTCTGTCTCTACAAGAGCTTGGATCTTTTTCTTGTTCTTTTTAGTCAGTTCATCAAGTTGCAATTGAGCTAATTTTCTTTGCAGCTCACTTTCTTGCTTTTTGAGTTTTTGTTCATTTTTCCTGTACTGCTCAACTGCATGTGCCACATAATCACAAAACTCTTTGTGAGATTTAGAGTTTAACCCCACCACATCTTCTAACCTGCTCTTCACTGAGGAAGGCATAGAGTCAATTATGGCTTGTCGAAACAATGTAGCCATTATAGGGTCTCTTTCAGGATCAATTTCAGTGTCATGTTTCCATTGTCGTGAATGTCTCTGAACATACGTTATTGGATTCTCTGTTTCCCCCAACTGATCACCTCTTAACATATTAGGGTCCAGTCTTAGTGGATACTCTGCACGCAGTGCCTGCCACACTGCTGGACGGAAGGCATCAAAAATAGTCCCATCCATCTGTTGAGAGTTCACAGCCCTGTCAAGGTTAGAAGCGTGAAGGATTTCATCCATCTTTGCTCCTCCTACAGTCTTTGCAAGAAGAGATTTAATGTCTCCCAAAGAAATCAATTTTCCAACTGATTCCTCTTCAAATACCCTTATCCACTTTGCTGCCCCCTCATGGATGTTTGGGAGCCTAGCAATCAAACCCTCCAAATCCAATGTAGGCCAAGGGACATACTGTGCTTGTGCACCTTTTATTAAAATTGGGCATTGTTTAAATGGCCTAAGCCTGTTCCCCCTTTCCCAGTTTCCTGTATCAAGTATTGACTCCTCCCAATCTTCTTCCTCATCTGAACTGAATAACAATCTCCTTTTTTGTTTTACTTTGTCATATGTGTCTTTTAACAGTTTTTCAGTTTCTCCAATTGTACTTCCCACGTCAATATCTTTAATTCCACCCCATGCTCCCCTTTCCTTATTATATGATTTTGTCTGCTCTTTTGGCTCCCTATAGTCTAATTTGTCCTCACACTGTTTATTCATTTGTTCTAATGCTTCACGGGCCTGTTTATAACAATCCAAGGGTGCATATGCCCCTTTATTTTGCTTATTTGCTGATCGTTTTGATTTTATGCTTGCCCCTAATTGTTTTTCCTCCATTTCCATCTCTCCTTCCATTTTAAGTTCTCCTGACACCTCCATGAGCCCTTTAAGCATAGGGAATTGCCCTTCAGCTTGTAAATAAGGTGGAGGGCTATTAAACATTTGCTCTTTAGCAGTGGTTTCTTTGTCAGCCTCTTTCAGCATTTTTCTTGCCTTTTTAATATTTCTTAAATTATCTTCTCCTTCTTTTTTGAACATGTTTAACACTTCTCTCTCTTTTGCTCTTTTTTCATCTCGTTTTTGTCTCCTTCTGCTACTACCTTTTCTTTTATAATTTTTTATTAGAGTATCCATTTCTTCACATAATGCTACATCAAAAGTTCCACCTTGTGGCCAGATTGTCATCATATTTTTAGTTCTAAGTTGCCACTTTTTTGAATATTTATCAATAAGCTCTTTACACAATGGATACTTTGATCCTAGTATTTCTACTGGAGAGCTTGCCATTGCTATCTTCTTTATTTGTAAACTATTATGTGTCTTTATTTTGTTATTTTTTATTTATTCGTTTTATCACTTGATTGTTGTTCTTCTTATTATTATAATTATTTTTATTATTATTATAATTAAAACTTTGTTTTTATTATTTGTATTTGACTTTAATCAATTTTCTTTTTCCACTTGTTTGGTATCTAAATTTTATTTATTTATTTATTTTTATTTATTTATATATTTTTTTTTATTTATTATTATTATTTATTAGTAGTATTATTTTTTTCTTTTTACTTATTTGTTTATTTATTCTTTAAATAAGTAGTTTAAATTTTATATAATTTGTACGTCTAATTAATTTTTATTTTCTATTTATTATTATTTTTTTTATTATTATTATTTTTATTTATTTATTGAGTTTTTATTATTGTGACTTCTTTTTTTTCTTGTTTAAACAGTAATCAATATTAATTTTTTATCCTTCTATTTTATCCTTTATTTATTTTAGTCATGTTATGTTTATTTATTTATTTATTTATTTTGATTGTTAATTTATTTATTTAATTTTTATATTTATTTTTATTTTATTATTATTGTTTTACCCTCACTTTTATTTTAAATTTTAATTGCTGCAGCACAAGCCTAATTATTATTATTATTATTACTTTTTTGTTTTAACTAGTTAACTTTTCCATTTATTCTACTTAGTTTTCCCAAGTCTTTCCTCAATTTTTATTCACAATTCTTTCTTCAAACATTCATTCACTTCAATGCTTTATTGCATACACACTTCTAAAAACATTCACTCCTCTACCCCCCTTATCCTATGGGGTTCATAAAATATTTTATCACACACTTTTTAAAGCATTTACTTTTCTACCCCCCTTATCCTATGGGGTTCATGTATTAACCTTATTCAATACCGCAATCTCACGGACACAGAGCCCAACACACACAGGCTTTCAACACTTTCCTAAGTGACCTGTTACTTCTGCTTCCAATCTCTACTGCTCTACAGTAAAAATAGCATTTTCCAGGATTTTTGCCTTTTTTCCCCCAGCCTCCTGAATCATAATATTTATTATTATTAAAACAGAACGGGTACTCCGAGGTCTTTGCGCGCTTCTCTCTACTTTATTAATCTGTTTTAACTTATTAATCGTCACAATCTATTAAGATTTTATCCTTACTTCCTTCAAAAATCTTTAATATAAGTAACAATTAGTTGTTAATGTCTTATCTTTATCCTCAAGGCCCTCTTAAAGCAAGACACAGATTGTTGCATGCAACATTTTCTTCTGAAATCAAAACCCTTTTTTAAACGTATTAATTATTTAAGTTTGGAAGAGCACTTTGAGTGTTTTTACCCTCACAAGCAGAGTCCGTCGAGCCACACAATTTTTCATTAAATAAGCAAAAAATTGCTTACCTTTTTTCACAGTGGCCACTGCAATTGTGTCGCCCGCATCAGACTCCGCCAGCGAGGTCCCCACTCCGTTGCTCCTAGCCAAATCACGTCTCGGGGTCACCAATTTGTCGTGTTCGGTTCCTTTTCTTTCAATCAGCAATCGAGTCAGTGGGTCTTGATTTCAAAAGTTGGATTTATTGCCAGACAATAAAAACGAGAGGCTAACAGACAAACAAATGTCTCTCCATGAACCTCTGCCTCTCTGTGTCCCTGTCTTGCTTTTATACATGTAGTGTTGCAGACTTTTCCCACAGATATGGTCTTGTGCTGTGAACCTGCTATATTTTTGGCTGTGCCTTTTGAACTCAGGTATATTCTTGGCTGTTTGCCCTTTAGGTGCTGGTTTAAAGTTTACATGTACTCAGCTAACTACTAGGCTTGCTCTTACTGTTATACATTCACTTCACACTTATTTGTACACATATTAATATGATTATACAGAATAACATGTTCATTGCATATGTTAAACAATATATGTTTACTTGCACACTTGCACACAATTGGAGATATTTACTGCATATTCACTGCACACTTTACCCAATATATGTTCACTGCACACTATTAGAGAGAAGATCAAATCCTTAACATACAAATATATGTTCACTGCACACTATTGGAGACAAGATTACAATTTCTCCGTCAGTACGCCCTTATGTCACAATGTCAGTAGGCCTAAATGTCACTAATGTCGGTGACACATGCCACTAATGTCAGTTATCTTGTGACATGTGCCAGTAGGTGTCAGTATAAGCACATTAATCTTATAAGTTTCGTTTTGCTTTGATATTTAAAAATGATAAGGCAAATGACACCTATTATCCTACAAGCATATATGTTATGAATTTACAACATGCATTTTATTATAATAACTTTATAAAGCATATTATTTAAAATATCTTAAAATGAAAATAAATAAGTAAAAGAATAAAATTAATTAAATTAATGAATTAACCAACAGAGAAGTCCATATTGTAGCCAACAAAGGAACTGCCACAATGCAATAATATACGGCAGAACAGATAAGTGTAACCCCTCCGTTACATAAGCATGCCAAAATAAATTTGACTGACATGTACTGTCAAATGACTAAATAAATGACTACGAATATGTAAAATAAATGCTTTTAAATTAAAACATTGTGGAGTAGTCCAGCATATAACCTAACTTGCAACGCAGTAAATCATGGTAAAACATGGTGACACATGACATTGCACATGCCAATACCGAGTGACACATGACAGTGAAAACCGGACGTGCCACCGGAGGTGTCACTACACTCAGTGGCATGTGCCAGTAGCATCTGTACGTCAGATGTCGTGTCACTTCATGTTAAAACTGCCTCTCGATATTTAGCACATAACTAATGCGAAGGTAGCTACTATTTGTTTTTCACTCGGATCAACTCACAGTTTCATCATCGTCAGAATATAAGTTGTTTTTGTTTAGTTGTTTTTGGTTTCAGCTCTAGTAAGCTTTAACATTATCAAGATGACAGAATACTAAAAAGTAACGTAACGTACATTAAAGTACCTTATGATGGATAGTTCATGTATTTTTTAAAATGATCAATTGGATGACCGACGATTTTCCTACACATTTAGAACTGAATATTAAAGGGGTGGTCCAGAATGTAATTTTAAGGCTTGGTTGTGTTTATAAGATGCAAAGCAATGTGTGCTCATGTTTCACTTGAAGGAAATCGCGTTATTTTTTCATATATTTCACTTTGATTATACACAGCAACTCAGCTAACATGAAAATGACTGTCAAACTTCCTAGTTCCTTTGAAAGGCCCTAAGTGACTCTGATTGGTCATCGTCACAATGTGCTGCTATTCGCGGATCGGCTCCACATCACGCCTGTAAAAGCACATGCTTTTTTGCTGTGTAAACAATCAGTCAACCTCCTGCCTGCTTTAAAATAAAATCGCACAAGTGTCTGTAACGAGGGAAAATGGGGTGCGGCTCCTTTAAGAGCGTTTACCATTGTGTGTGCGTCTATGTGTGTGTGTGTGTGTGAATGTTGTCTGCGTCTATGTGTGTGTGTGAGAGAATGTGTGAACTTTCTGTAACAAGCGCGTGTGCATGGGAGTTTTTTTTTTGCTTTTTCTCTGATGCTCAGATTAAGTTATTTTCTGTAATATATCGTGACAGAAGAATAAAGCACAAGATGTGGGATGCTACCTGTGTGAGCCTTGATTTATTTTTCTGCTGCTACATGAGTCAGGTCAGCTATCCTGTATTTTTTTTAACTCACAAGTTACATGACGCCTTTCACATGTATCCGGAATATGCAGGTGTAAGTAATATGAATCATCCACATATCTTTTGTGACTTCATTATCTGAGATGTGAAATGTATGGAAAAGCTGCCTAAAGAGAAGAAATGCAAAGTCACGCACACACATAAGAGACAGGAATGTGCTGGTGGAGTGTGTGTGTGTGTGTGTGTGTGTGTGTGTGTGTGTGTGTGTGTGTGTGTTTACAGCAGTTTGACTGATAAATATGAATTTGTAGCTTAATCGTTTGCTCGCAAAGGAGCATTTTGCATTGTTTACATCGTTGCTACATCATAACTTACCGTTAACGCTAGACACTGTACATGTCATGATCAATTTTAACAAATAAAAAAACTTACATTTTGTAGTTCACAGCTTCTGCTTTGAGGAGATTTTAGTTGAATCCAGCAGTGAACTGGGATGGATTCTGGAAGCTGTTTTGTCAAATCATGCTTGCTGTGTATTTTATAATTCTCTATAAAAAACGTAATTAATATTGAACTGTAAGCATTTCTGTCTTTGTGTCGTGTAATGTAGAAGCCCAAATACAGAAACAGATGAAGCTCTGTGGAAACAGCAGTGTTTGGACGCGTTTGTAGCTTCATCTCTGCTATAACGTTACAGCGCCTCTGGCCACGGCCTATAGCTGTGCAGTGTGGGGTGCGCAGTAAACAAACCTTTGTGATCTCACAGGCAGCGGAAGTAATTTTTTGTAGTCCCCAAAATTCGTTCATTGTAGGCTTTGCCAAGCTAACTCTGTAAAAAACAAGGTCTCCCTTTGCATTCAACTTAGAACCTTTTACATTCAGAGATGTTGTTTATGTTCACACAGCTACATTACACATCAACTAAAGTTTACAATAGGATATCATATCATCTTTCTGTTTTTTCAGTTCACATGCGTGGTGCCAGACGCTCCTCTAGCTGTGGTTGAGGAGATCTTGCTGTACCTGCCCGCTTATCAGGTGGTGCGAGTGTGTCGTCTGGTGTGTCATGAGTGGAAAGAGCTGGTGGACAGTGCTGCACACTGGAGAGAGCGCTGTAGGAGAGAGGGGATTCAGCTATGTGATGCTTCCAGACCGCCAGAGGACTGGTGTCAGTTTTACTTTATAACTAAAAAACGACGGAACCTGATCAAGAATCCCAAAGCTGAAGGTGAGCCATGTATTTAATATTGTGCAATAAATGGATGCACATTAATCATTTTTTTATTATTTGGTTACTTTTTACTAGCTGGATTGCAAGGATGGGGGATAAAAGTAGATAATAAAAAGGCCTGCTGGCTGGTGGAAGAAAATAGAAAACCATTCCCGGACAACACAGTCACCAGATGTTATGTAGCATCTGATGGGTATGTTTGATATATAGATCTTTTGAGAAAGTTCTGCACTCTTTCCATTTCAGTCAGTGATACAAAATGTAAACAAAGCATGAATTAACCAATATCATTGTCCCCAGGTTGTGTTTGAAGCGACAGCTGATTGATTTGCAGAAAGAAGGCTACAGTGCTGCTTTCATGGATCAACTGCAACCTCACATCAAAATCTCAGACTGGTGAGCATTCACACAACTCACAACTCATGCTACAGCATCTGAATTTTGCTTTTATTGCGATTAATTCTTGTGAACAACCTGTGCCTTACACTCTGGTAAAACGATAGACTGTAAAAGATATGGACGTTGTATCCTTGACATCACCCATAGTTTTCTGAAGAGCACAATTGTAGCTACAAGTAGGTGTGGCCAACTGTTGCCATTTTGTTCGCACATTACTGCACCAACCGGGCGTTACCAAAAAAGGGAGCGTAGAGGCGGAGCGTCAATGGTGCTACAGAAGCCTAATAGCATTTTGCTAAGGCAGGCTTTTCTTTTCTTTTCTTTTGGAGAAACGCTTAATACTTTATTACTGGCGACTCGTTTGTGTTCTGACCACATGTGCTTGGTTGTACACTATATCAATAAAGTGTTTAGACTTTTAAAAACACTGTTGTAACACATTGAGCCACTAAACAGTGTTCTAAATTACTTCTAAATACTTCAAATATAGTCTGTGTTAGTAAATGCAAGTTATTTATGAAATCCAGGCATTACACTTTAGGCCAACGTATAGCCTACAGCTAATCAATCTGCCAGATTCTGGAGTGCAATCAAGTTCTAAAGAAAAGTATAAATGATAAACGATCCTAAATAAATGAAATACATTCATAGATATAGTATATAAGTAAATAATTTCACTCACCTGTGAAAAAGAGGCCACTTGAAGGGTTTGTGAACACAATTAGGTGAACACAGCATGCTATATTATCTGATAATTGTAGGAAATGATTCCAAAAGGCAACTGACAGTGTAAAGCCACATAAAACAAAACAAAAATATGATTTATATGCTTTATGATTTATGAATTAAGTGGCTGATCAGCCGCAATCATGTGAGGTGACTTGAGTGACAGCTAGGTCTCGCTGGTTGTCACTTTTGTGGCCCCATCCTTAATTATGCAGACTTATCATAAATTAATATAAACTTACCAGACGAGTTATAACCCCAACCAATCCTTTTTTGTACCAGACTGTAAACACCTTTTTCTTCTGCTGTAAAGTTGGCCATTTTAACATTGGGATCATTAGAAATGTGCTCAATTATGGAGTCAGGACTAGCGGAATTTTGATAAATTGCAGTTTCATGTTACTTCTGTATTAACTTCATGAGGGAGAGCAAGATGTTGCCGCTTGGGTAAAACACAGTACCTGTTTTTAATCAGGCTCTATTATGAAAAGAGCAACACATTTGTTTGTTGTCTTATCTGCAGGTATACCACAAACCTTGCTTATGGAAGTAGCTATCAGGTCTGTATGGAACTGCTTAATGAGGAGATGCAACCCATTAGTAGCAATAATCCGCATAGATTGGTTCTAGATGGGGAGAATTATCCATGGTGTGAGGTGAGCAGAAAAATACTGACGGTTCAGTTAATCAAACTAATAGTCAAAGCTTAACCATCCCGTGTTTGTTTTGCTTTATTTCAGATAACACGTGTCTTTCAAAATTATGGACCTGGTGTTCGGTTTATCCGTTTCACTCATGGTGGGTCGGAAAATCAGTTCTGGAAATGCCGGTATGAAGTAAGAGTCACTAACAGCAGTGTGGAGATCTGCCCAGCTGCAGAGAGAGAGTCATTATCAGTTTGAGTATTTCCTCTTTTGTAAGAAACACTATGAAATGATGAACCCGCAAAAATTCATCTTCATAGATGAGACTGGGCTCTATTGAAAGCATCAGGAGGATTTCTGGTGGCCTGGGCATTTTAAATTGTCCTGCTGCCAGTCAGACTTATTATTAGTATTATCATTATTATCTTTTATTATTATTGACCATTACACTGTAATAAAGTAATCTCAGCATGCAATGTAAACAATCATTTAAAAAAATCTAAACCTGTTAGACTTGACTGGCAGCATTGCACTATGCTTCAGTTTACGCCCTCTCTGTGCCTCCGCAAAAGCATTTAAACAGACATGGGAAGATGTGAGATAGTGGCCAGGTAAAGCAGAAAAGGAAAGAGCAGGTAACAAGAAAGCACGTCAAGAAGAAGCCGCAGCTAAAATGCCTTCTACTACACTTCTAATCTGTTCAATGTCCAACTATATCTCTGTTGACTCTAATGTATAACGTTAATAGTATGTTCTACTGAAAAATAAAAAGAGTTGTAAAAAGAGCAGTAATGTGCACACTTTTGTAAAGCTGCTTTAAATATATAATTATTGTGAAAGGCGCTATACAAATAAACTTGATTAAAGAGCGAAATGTTGCAGAATAACCCATCTGTTCAAGTTCAGGTCAGTTTTTCGTCTGTAAATACTGTAGGTTATTTATTCATTCATTCAAACTTTTTTATAGACTCAAAGTCCAATTAAAAACAACAACAACAACAACAAATCTGTAACATAAGAAACTAATGAATTTACAAGATACAGCAATACCAATGTCTCCACAGCTCTAATTGATAGCGTGTACTACTGACATCTGTGTTTGATAAACCCGGTTATCTTGTTGTTGGAAGCATTAATTTGGAAGATAAATGTATATATAAGGCTGCATAGGAGTGCTTTAAAAGTGATCACTCCCGCACATACAAACATTTCACTTGCACTATACCATTTAGGTTTCCTTAATAAAATCTCAAAGCATCATTATAAGCAACTTGGAGCTTGTTTAAGCTAGCTGCTCTATAGTTTTTTACTGTTTATGTTTTGAACTTATAGCAAGTATTAACCTAATGCTGCATTCACATCAGACACGGATGAAGCGACAAGCACGAGTGATTTATTCACTTATGTTAAGTCAATGCAAAGACACGAATAGACTGGGGGGTAGGACGATTCTAATGGCCCACGCATTTGGGGGCACCCCCACAAAAATGTTTCGACAAAAGGAGTCTTGTTTGAAAAATTATACATATTCATTTCATTTGGCTTAGTCTATTTACTTATCAGGGGTCCCCACAGCGGAATGAACTGCCAACTTAACCAGCATGTTTTACGCAGCAGATGCCATTCCAGCTGCAACCCAGTACTGGGAAACAACCAAACACTCTCGCAATCCCAAACATACACCACGGCCAATTTAGCTTATTCAGTTCACCTATAGCACATGTTTTTGGACTGTGGGAGAAACCGGAGCACCCGAAGGAAACCCGCTGCCAATTGTACATAAGCAACGATAGTAAAGTGTGTGTTTTAAAAAAGCCATGATATAGGAAAAAGACTCAGTACATCAGTACTTGTAATGACTAATTTTAGTACTTAAAGAGTAGCCTACTTTAACAACAGTGAATCACGTTAATCAATAATCATTTTATTGATTAAGTATCATCTTTTGTTAAATAATCTGGTTATAAAGGCTGGCTTGTTTGCACAGGTTTATTTTCGACCTTTTTATACAGACTATTTACTGCATCCAGCTCCACGAATGATTTAAATGATATATTTTAGTGAAAACCCAATATGAACTCAAATAAGTCTTACAGACTAGAAATGAAATAATTATCATCATTGATCCTGACACAAAATGTTCTTAACAAATTTAGTTAGAGAACTATTTTATTAAATAATTATAAAATGATTTTATGATTATAATATAAATATATATTTTATTTCCTGTCTAGCCGTTTATACCTGGTCTTTTTGGGAAACATCTGCTTAAAGTGAAGCTCACTTATTTTACCTTTTGTTCAATCTTTTTGGATTAAAGTGCTTTTTTGAAAATGCTTTCATTATCCAAAATAATCTCATTTATTAAGACCTAATCAAAACACCTTGTTTTGCGTTTTACATTGGAAAGTTTTATATCTATAAATGCACATAAATGTAAAACTTTTTTAGCATATTCAAACAAAAAGTATTAGCCTAGAGTGATGTTTAAACTCCTAGAACATGCGCTTATTAATTTGTATTTAATAGACCTGTTCGTTTTTATGTTTATATTAACCTCTCATTTCCCCTTATTTCTCTCATGGTATATATATTATTCATAATTCTCCCTTATTGTTTAAAAATGAACTATAGTTTGTAGAGGCTGTATTCTGTTTTATTTGTAAATCTTTTGTTGTAATAAATAAAAAAATAATAAATGATGATGACGCCATGTGATCGGTCATCATGACTGCAGCAACTTTGAGCCCCGAAGTGTCCAGCTGTCTGGCTTGACGGCTCAGTTTTCAACTCCACCCCTGGGGCAGGGCTGCACATTCAGCCACGCCCACCAGTAATTTCATCGGTTAGTGGAAACGTTTTTTATTTTTTATTTTTATTGAATGCTTAAAAAACAATAACAACAAATGTCATGAATCAAACAGCAACAATCTAGGGGTTTTCAGTCATTTAGTCGAAGATAAGTGGCAAGTCCTTAATCAAAGTCCTCGTTCGTATTGCTTTTAAGTTGGTTGATCCTTCAATACACTCAAAATAGATTTTCATTTCAATTTTAAATTTAGGGAAAAAAGGTTTACACTTACAAAACTTGCTCTTGTGAATATGAAATTTGGCCAACAAAAAAAACAAGGTTCATGAAATAAGTGTTATTTTCCTTTTCACAATCATGGAAACCAAAGATAACATTCTTATATGTAAATTCAAAATCTGCCTTCACATAAACTTTTATTAAATCAAGAACATCACACCAAAATGTCATTGAATGAGGGCAAGTCAAAAATAAATGAACAGACGTCTCAGGATTCACTAAGCAAAAATGAACAGTTGGTGTTAATATCATTCTTAAGTCTTTTAAGATTACACTTATCTGGATAGCATCTATGAATCAGTTTAAAGGTAACTTCTCTTATTTTGTTTGATATAAAAAAAATTGTGGGGTAATGACTAAACTTTCTTCCAGGAAATATCATTCACAAAACCACTCCAATATGACATTACATAGGGCAAAGTAACAAAATCTTTCTGTAACAGGGCTCTTATTTTCTTATTGCATTTTGATTTAGATAAGGAAAGGCAGTTTTTACCAATAAATGTTTTCCAAAGGTCCACTAAATGACAAGTAATTGGAAATGCAAGTCCTTTAAAAAGCATAAAAACACCTTGTGGAATAGCATCAGCAACAATAGCAAAGTCTTTAGGGCTTACGGGTATCCCGTGCTTAACTAAAAATTCAGAGAACTTACAAAGTAAACCCCTATCGTTGAAAAGTTGAGACACATAAGTTATATCATTTTTAAACCAGTTATTGAAGAATAGAGATTTGTTTTTATACAAGATTCTTATTATTCCAAATTATATATGAATAAGGTGTACAATTATGTTTAAATATGAGGGACCAAGTTAATAACATTTGCCTATGAAAATGAGACAATTTTATGGGGATTTTCATAATATTATAATTACAGATTAATAAAAATTTTAATCCACCTAATTTGGAAAAAATTACATTAGGGATCAGATTCCATATAGACAATGGGTTGGTTAGTGGAAACGTAATAATGTCAATGCCTACTACATGATGTCAGTAAACAGGAAATGCATTTACAACTTCTTAAATATTGTTTTTATTGTTAATAAACACAAAAATACACAAAAGTGGACATTCTTGCTGAGTATTTTATATGTTAATTATGTTAACAGTTATGTGATTTAAAAAATATTACAAAAAAACTCAAAAGACTCTTCACAATAGGATAACTTCACTTCGGCCTTTCAGAAAGGCACTGTTGTTAGTTCTGATATTTTAATTGTTTATTATTTTGCTTCAAAATGAAAATGCATATTGCATATTTACAACAAATAAAGGTGGAGTCTGAAAAAATGCAGTGTTTTTAGTTCAGTTTAATATTTTCCCTTTGAATGGGAGAGCTCTCTGGAAAATTTACAACTGAAAATATTAACATTTCACTTTGATTTAAGGCTATTAAAAATATTGGGCAAGTATCCAAATGTTTCTCTTTCAATACTGCACTGACCTTTTGAGTTTAAAAATGATTTATTTATTAAGAGCAGGGACAAGCTATTATTTATTAAGGGAAGTATATTTTTGTAACCTTTTCACTTGTTAAATCAGATTATTTCATCATATAATGGATTTATTTTTACTTTGATGCTGCTATGAATATAATGTATATTATCTGTTATATGTACATGTTCCAGCACGAGTAAAATTCTTTATTAATTTTTTTTATATTATATGGTGTGTCATCTATGAATTCAATCAGTTTAATTATTTATTATTATTTACTGATCCATTAAAGTTTTGTTCAGTTTCTCCCTTTGAATAAACACAGTGTTCTGCTGCCACTGGGTGGTTAAGATATCTGTTCTACATTTTAATTAATAAATCACAAATAATTTTATTATAATAATTCATAATCTTATATTACTGATTTAAAATGCAGTCTTCTCGGTTTTATTTTTGTAATATTGGTAAATACAGGGTAAATACTTTAATACCACTTTCTAACATCCTTTCTGAGTCCAGTTCTGCACTGTAGATCTTTAAAAATATTTTATAATGATTTTGATTAGGAGGTCACATACAACATTGTTAATCTATTTCATTTAATTAGAACATTAAATAAACTTAATATTATATCAATAGGGTGGCACAAAAGTTTTATTTATTACTTATCTATCAGGACACAAATTAATGAAAATAAATTTGACATTAAAAAGTGCAGCACTCGTGTAAACTTCTGAATTCTTTATTTGACAAATGCTGACAGATCTGTTTTTTTTAGATGTCAGAAGTCTCAGCTTCAGAACATCTGTGTATGCACATGCCCACGTGTACAAAAGGAAGACTGACAATTTATAGAGTATAATAATAATAATTTAAGATACAGCAGTTTGTGATTATTATCACCTTTAATAAACATAAAAACAGTTATATATATATATATATATATATATATATATATATATATATATATATATATATATTTTTTTTACAGGGAAATTTCCCTCCAGCATTGAAGTAACCTGCTGAGCAATATATTGGGAAGTCAATTGTTGAACAGAATGCCTGCAGGACCCCCCTCTCACCATATCCAACAGACAAGCACTTTGTCAAAGTATATGGAAATCTGATTGATGACACCTAAATAAAGGTACATCAAGTACATATTTAAGCACGACACAACCATAATTCAAAGTTTTAAAACTAACGGAGTACTGTAAAAAGCACATACATTACATCAACACGTTTCCGTGAACCAATGAAAGTAGGCGGAGCGACATGTTCAGTCCCGCCCACTTATGTCGTAGAGCAGTACTTGATGGGGTATGCGGAATTATTGTGAGTTTATAGTCTTGCCATCTAAGAAGTCTTGTGATTACTTAGCTAGCCTGCTTTAAATGTGCTTATGTAGAGTTTACGGAAGACATCCTGTATATTTTTCAGCTAAGGCGCTGCTGCTAAGTTACTTGAGAGTTGTTTTCATTGATGAGAGAACTGATGTATCCATAAGGCGTAAGTAGCTATTAATAGTAGTGTTACAGCTAGTTTACTGTCAAACAATGAAACGTTACTTCAGTGGATTCCTACAGAACGCACGCACAGGGGGATCGTCTGAGAGTCAAATGCCATTAGTGGAATGGGGAGCTCCGGTGCAGCTTCGAGGGTCTCCAAAAGCAGATCAGAAGCAGTAAGTTGATAAACTCTTTATTTTTTTCTGTTTTGTATATCATAATATCACCTGACTATATGTTTACCAGTTCACTATTAACTGCTTTCTTGCAGTCAACGTAGAAATAATTGTTTGCTAAATAAATAAATAATCACTAATTATTGTTGTTAGTACAGCAAAACCATAAACTAGTCTACAGCCACCATGGTTTTTAATTTGTAGATGTAAAAGCCGTATTGCGTTTTCCATTTACGTTTTTTGAGACGTTTATAATGACATTTCCGTGCTACTGTCGTGTCCGAAAGTCATGTAGCCTAGTAGTGGGTGTAAAGGCAGTGCACCAGGACTTGAACGCATAGGCTACTAACTTCACCCCTTCTAAACTTTACCTCATGGGGCCAGCCTCCGCCTGGATTTTACTGAACGCCTGTTTGTGGGAGACCAACCTAGGGCGGCTTACGAAAACCTTTCATATGAATTAAGTAACAATACAAATGACAGAAAAATGCTTCAAGATGTCAATGCCACGTTTCATGGGGGTTTCAGTAAAATAGAGGAGAAAAAGGAAGACGGTAAGAATAAATCAGGTACCACATTTTGTCTGATTAATTTCTGTACATTGAGCATGTCTGTGGCTGCTTTCATTTGATTGAAAATTTCTTGCAGAATTTGGGAGGAAAAAAATAAGAAAGTTTGTCAAAATATAGAAGACATTGATTATTTCCTGCTTTCGCTGTCATTATTAAAATTCCTTCTCAGTTGACATGACATTTTCAATCAATTCTTCTTCAAGAGGATCATGGCAGGTTCCACTGTATTTTATTTTTACAGAATAATTTATGAGAGAAAAACAAAGACAAAATCTTTCAGAAAGTCATTTTATTCTTTTATGTGTAGTTTAAAAAATCCTTAAAATATTCAATAAATTGTTCTTCAGAATGACTCGTCAACTTTCATTAGGTTTTAATGCAGAACTTGGAAAATTCCTTGGCCACGTTTCTCTTCGATAAATCTTGCAGACATTTGCCCATCCATAAACGTGATTTCTGCCCGAGTCTGATATTATACATTAATGTTGATGTTGGATATATGATAAAGATGATATCTCTTATGATTCTGAACTTAGTCATGGCATCGCCAAACTATGGCTTTGTTTGTTTTGAATACGTGCTTTCTAGCATTGAAAAAAGACCTATTTTAGTGTTAAAGGAAGTTCACCCTTTAAGGAGAATTCTGTCATTTAAAAAATTCTCCAAACACATGAAAACACGCTGTGATGCACTGTCAGGGGGCAGGAAGAACCAACCCCAAACACAGAATTAAGCTTTTGCTCAAGTAAGTTGCATACAAAGTTATTGCAAATGTGAAAACAGAGACATTAAGAATTCACTTTGATTGCATCAATGTGCAAGTTAAAAAAAATCACATGAGGGGCTTCACAGTGGTGCAGTGGATAGCATGATCTCCTCTAAGCAAGTAGGACGCTGGTTCAAACCTCGGCTGGGTCAGTTGGCATTTCTGTGTGAAGTTTGCATGTTCTCCCCATTTTTGTGTGGGTTTCCTTCAGGTGCTCTGGTTTCCCCCACAGTCCAAAGACAAATAGGTGAATTGAATAAGCTAAATTGGCTCTAGTGTATGTGCGTGAAAGGAAGTGTACGGGTGTTTCCCAGTGATGGGTTGTGGCTGGAAGAGCATCCGCTTTGTAAAACTTATGCTGGATAATCTGGCAGTTCATTCCACTGTGATGACCCCAGATTAATAAAGTGTCTAGGCTGAAAAGAAAATGAATGAATGAAATCACATGAGGTGAAAAATTATCCCATGAGTAAACTAGAGAGAGTGACATGGTGCTCCACTTTTGGTGTGAACCTGGACTAGGGGTGTACTCTCACTATGTACAATTGCCTTGAACCGGGCCAAAGCACGCTTGTCCCCCCTCCTGTCTCCCCCGACGGCCCGCACTCACATTACATTCGGGCCTGGGCACGCTTATGTCATCGATGATACGCTGGACAGAAGAGCAGCTTGCTCAGCACGGTGGAGATTTCTTCTGTTATATCGTCGTTTAAGTCATTTGATATGCGGTAGAGCTTCACGATTCTGGCTAAAATGAGATTCTCGATTTTACTGCTTAATATTAAGATCACGATTTTCTCACGATTCTGTAGATGTAAAATAAAGGTATGGCACAACATCGTTAATAATATTATGTGTAGGTCTACTGGTTTTTATAAATAATTCTATTCTACTTATAATTATAATATCGAATTATTATGTTTGAGATATATGCTTACAATCTGTCATATTTATTCACTGGTAAAATCAGACATTTGCCATTATTAGATTATATTCAACAATATATAGGCTAGAGTAGTTATACTGACATTGTAAACATTTATTTTTATGCATAACAGTGGGTTCGCTATGAAAGAAAAAACATTTCAAATGCTTGCTGTAATTATAATTTTAAAATGCGATATGATCATTTAAATAAAGTGCACACTTTCGGTTTCATTTTGACTGCTAAGTGCTTGTTCATACTTCACGCGGGGCTCCCAAACGATTACTCTGTGCCACAAACAAAATATTACGTACAACTGTATTACCTGTTACTCACAACATATGCAGGTTCTGTTCACTAAAGTAGACGCACGCGCGTCTGTCATTAAGTAGAGCGTGCACGCGCCCTGTGATGACAGCTCACGGTCAGCAGCTCACGTCACGTGTGATTTCCCGGCCGCGAAAACATCATTATATGAGACAAAAATGACATTTTTAGTTTAATTATAACTTATGAATACAGTATGTAACTCATTCAAAATCATTTGGAGGTGTCAATGTCACTGAGCAACGTATGTAAAACAATGAAAAGACTCGTGCTGCCACCTTTTCTTCTCTCCTGAACTTGAAAATATGATTGGCAGAATAGTAGAAATGCTGGATTAAGATCGTCTAGGGGGTCGAATCGAGATCGCAATCTTTTAAAGATTAATTGTGCAGCTCTAATATGCGGTGATGCACAGTCAAATATTTCGCCGAACAGATCAGCCGCTTTTGACGCTCATAAACAATCATAGAGTCCTCGTGCTGCAGGTATTAGGAGGTTTGCTGAAGGTGCAGTGAGGGGTTTGCAGCTTTATTAAACTTTGGCAGTTTGCGTTCACTGAACAGTAAGAATAATTCATAAATCCATATGAGACGGTCCCACCTCGCTTTCAGTTTCGAGCTTTGGCGCGTTTTGCACTCACACTACAAGCGTACCGTGCCAAAGCCCAAGTGAACCACTCTCAGGCACACCTTATTCAAACGGGCCAGGGCCGGCCAAGTGAACCTTGCCTGAGCCCGATTCAGCACACTCACACTTCTCAAACAATCGGGGAAACGGGCCTGGGCACGGTTCAGATAGCATAGTGCGAGTACGCCCTAAAAATAAACATGTGTAAAGGCTGATTTATACTTCTGCATTAAGCGCATGCGTATAATCTGCCGGAGCCTTCGCACGGTCGCCTCGCCAACGCTGACACGCAACTATAAAAAATTTAACTATAAATGGCAACGACACGTAGCGCAAGCTCTGTGATAGGTCGGCTTGGTAGCGGTGACGAGCGTGGGCGGTGCTGAGAGCTGTGAGATTGATGTGTTGAGTCGCCAGGAGGAACTCTAGATGTAAACTTTTGTTTTGTGTTTACCTTTCGATTAAATTTATTGCACGCCAGCTAGTTCCAGTCTCTGAATGAGGGAGTTTTATCTACTTGTAGCATTCAGAAAAAACAAAAAAAGAAAAACTCGACACAGAGGTACATAAAAACCTACTGCCCGCGAGCATTTCAGAAGTGTTATTGCAGAGCAACACAAACAGCTCACTGAAGTATAAATGTACTACATGCAAGGCAGGCACCGTGGGTCATGGTGAACACTCGACGCAGGAGTATAAATCAGCCTTTAGCCAATCAGAAAGGAGAAAACAGCGTAAGCTGACATCCAGAGACCAAACTATATCCACAGCCACTATGGCCACAGCCATATCACTCTGCAGCTCAAGACCGGTTACTCACTGAAGCTAAGCAGGGCTTTTTTGGGAAGTCGTGAGGCGTCTAGATAATTCTAGGAAAATACAACAGTACGTATTTATTCGGAAATGCAGACCTCTACCTAGCACCTCTGAGGAACCGGATGATGAGGTTGTGCTTTCCCATGGTGTCGCGAGCTAACCCGTTATGATAAGCGGAGATGGCGGCCACGTAAACCTTGAGAGTGGAGGGTGACAGCCTGCTGTCCAGCTTCTCTTGGAGAAAAGAGAGCACAACACTAATCTGGCAGTTTCGAGGGTCTTCTCTGCGAGAGACGCACCATTCAGTGAATAGACTCCACTTCAGGGCTTAGGCGCGCCTCGTGGAGGGGGCTCTAGCCTGAGTGATGGTATTAACCACCGCACTCAGTAGGTTACCTAAGTCTTCCTCGCATCTAGGGACCACACGTGGAGGTTCCAAAGATCGGGGCGAGGGTGCCAGATGGTGCCCTGTCCCTGAGAGAGTAGGTCCTCTTTCAAAGGGATTTGCCAGGGGAGGGTCGTCGCGAGGAGGGAGAGCTCTGATATCCAGGTCCGGTTGGGCCAGATGGGCGCAACTAGCAGAACCTGTTCTTTGTCCTCTCTGACCTTGCACAGAAACTGCGCGAGCAGGCTCACTGGGGGAAACGCATACTTGCGCATGCCCCGAGGCCAGCTGTGGGCCAGTGCATCCGTGCCGAGAGAACCCTCGGTCAGAAAAAAAAAACAACTGGCAATGAGCGTTCTCGGGGGAAGCAAACAGATCGATCTGGGCCTCCCCGAATCGCGCCCATATCAGCTGAACAGACTCGGGGTGGAGTCTCCATTCTCCAGGGCGTATCTGCTGCCGTGAGAGCGCATCGACTGCATGGTTGAGCGTGCCTGGAACGTGAATGGCGCGCAACGATTTCAGCCGCGGGTGACTCCAGAGGACGCCTGGACTAGAGGCACACCAGCCTGTAGGAACGAGGGGTCGTACAGTCTGTCCTAGACGCCTGTCCTAGAGGCACACCGGCCTGTAAGAACGAGGGGTCGCACAGTCGGAGCGCCATCCTGAAACGGACGTGCTGCACGACTGTGTTGCTCTTTTAGAAAAGTTTGCAACAATACGCATCGCTCTGGAGGACCGGACCCAAAGAACCGCAGGCAAGGGAGAAACCCAGCTCGACCGTCTGCCGCCGCGAAAACCCACTCTGGACCGGGAGACACTCGTTCGCCCTGAAGTCGCTGAATCAGCAAGAGGAACCCTCATCGACTCGAAGTCTCTGAAGTGAAAAGGATGGCCTTTGCTCACTCCAGGTGTGCTTATATGCTGGGATAATTGGCAATGAAGCACGCCTGCGCAAGCTTACGCTGCCAATTCATTGCTTTCATTGGCCCGTTCAATACTCTTTCAGACAAGCAGCTTCTGAATTGAATCCTCCCATACGTGGATTTTCCAAGATCAAATCCACTTATAGCACTGAAGTTCCCCAACCGAAGTGGAACCGGTATTATCTACATTCAGGCAGTTATAATATCCTTACTACACAAAGTCTATCTTGAATAAAAAGTAGAATCACTTTAAAAGAATTCACCGTAAAAATAGCAAAATCACTTTAGACATTTTAGAAAGTATTAACTCATAGAAATAACAATAGAAACAGTTGCTTCCAGTCCTCAGCCCTCAGTTCCACGCAAGGTCTCCATGACCTCTGACCTAGTTTTTTGGTTTCTGAAAATAGTTATAAAGAGACAGGCAAATGCACTGAACATTCTTATATTAAGCAATGTTAACTTATTCATTAATTAAAATCAATTCAAAGTTAAATACTCATTCAAATAATCAAATAATTATATTTAATAAAAATAATGAGAAACAAGATGATGAGAAAAGGATAAATGTTGATTCATGCTGAGATGAATTAGAAGGTATAAATTCGAACCATTCAGGAGAACACATGGGAAAACCAGGTTGCTGTTGGAAGTGGTGTTAGAGAGGCCAGCAGAAGGTTCTCAATACTGTGGTTTGTGTGAGTCCTAATACCCCAGTATAATAATGGGGACACTATACTGTGACTGTCAGTGAGCTTTGTCTTGTGGATGAGATGTGAACCGAGGTCTTCACTCTCTGTGGTCATTAAAAATCTCATGGCTCTTCTCGTAAAGAGCAGAGGTGTAACCCTGGTGTCCTGGCCAAATTCCATCAATTTGCCTTTACCCATCATGGCCTCCCAAACATTCCCATACACTGTCTCTCCACTCCATCAGTAGCTGGTGTGTGGTTAACGCACTGGCACCGTTGTCCTGTGGCTGCCGTCACATCATCCAAGTGGATGCTGCACACTGATGGTGGAGTGGAGAGACCCCCCTGATGATTGTGAAGCTTTTTAGGTGTATGGTCATACACAATAAATGTAACATATAAATAAACATTACACTACATTACACACTGTAACTGGAGTTTCTGAATTCCTAAGACTGGCGGGAGTTTTCTGAAAATTTTGGTTTCAGTCACCTGATACTGCATTTTTGTGTGGAAAAACGGCCAATGGAAAAATGTGTTTTTAAAAATACCCATGTTCGTCAGTGCTAATAGCCTAGACTAGAGTGGATAAGTGCGCTGACTAGTTGCAATACCAAGAATGTCCTCATAATGACACAATTTTTTGGCTTAAGGTCCTTTGCCTGTCCTTACCATTCTGCTTCCCATTCATTCCTGTCCCCCCTCTCTACTCTCCAGTAAAATAAAGGTAAAACTCCCCTAATATTTTAATAATAAAATACTCCTGTTTGTGTGGACAGCTAAGGGCATACGTGTTACAAAAATAGCTGCTAGTAAAGTCTACTCACAAACACCACTGGACTTTAAAAAAACAAAATAAATCAGGAATCTCAGTTTGTTGAAGGCATACAGTTCAACGTACCATACCCTACTGTCAAATAATCAAGGTGTGCTGTAATAGTTTGAAAGTGATAGTCCTGCCTGAATGAACTGGGCCACACCTGGCATTAATGTGTGCTGTCTACGAGTGTGGGCTAATCATATAGAACCCACAGATGTGGGCCATACCTGGGCTAGCCCGCACTGGGCCTGTTTAGATTTGATGTGGCCTGCCTATAGCTTACTGTGAATGCAAAAAGCCAGCATGGCCCTGCATGAACATGCTTGCTGGGAACAAACACTAGATGATGACCAGCTGAAATCTGGCAGCTATGTTACAAAAGTGAAATTTCCAACAGGGTTAAAACTTAAAGGGCCATGAAACCCCCTCGTTTCAGCAGGGTGTTTTCACACCTCTACTTTCGAAAAAGTCAGAAAAGTGGGCGTGTCCAGCTCTGTTTAGGGGGGAGTGTCGGAGGAAGAGTCAAAATACACACCCACACAGACAGGAGAAAGCGATGGTGTTTAACCTACATGGACATCTGTAGTCGAATTATTTGCTGAATTAATAAATGTTGGACTTTAACTGCAGTTTGGCTCTTTCATTCAGGGAATTCATTCATGCCCCTCGCGACAAACGAGATATTTGATTCGAGGAGCTGCTCTAAGCGTGTATTTTTCATGCAATGTTTGATACCGCACGGCGAATGAGAGAAAAAAAAACTCTGCATTTCCCGGAAACTTAGATGCACACGGCAGGTAGCATCAGAAAGCCGCGTGTGTTAATGAGAGAAAAAAAACTCCGCATTTCCCGGAAACTTAGATGCACACGGCAGGTAGCATCAGAAAGCCGCGTGTGTTAATGAGAGAAAAAAAAACTCCGCATTTCCCGGAAACTTAGATGCACACGGCAGGTAGCGTCAGAAAGCCGCGTGTGTTATTCCGGTCACTAAATGTGGTGCTAACATTTCTGCACTCAGTGCTATAGTTAACTTAATTCGATATGAACAAACTGAATAAACAAAGAGCACTGGTCGCTCACTTACCAAATCTGTAGAGACAGGACAATCGCCAGCAACTAGAGCCGCATCTTTATGAAGAGAAGACTACGAGCAAATCCGGATTTCAGCGTTTGCAGATGAGAACAGCTCTCAGGTAAACAATAATCCTCCTTAGACACGTAAATTATTTGTGTGGAGCGTCGCGTACACTGTTAATCCACACGTGATCCAGATAAGCTCCCACAGAGAGAAAATGAAAACGAAACTTAACGGCAGCAAACTATAAAAGCAACACTTCACGCTTGTTTTGCCAACACAACGTGGCGTCTTTGTGGTGTAAACACGGTGACACAAATGAATATTAATGAAGTTGCACAATAGAGCGCGCTGATTGGTTTGAACCAAGCCTAACTCATGCATTAATGTATCACACTGTAAGACGTAATAAGGCTCACTCAGGCACAGACGCCCAGTCTGCACGCTGGAATACACGCTATTATGTCATGACCGTGACGCAGCTTCAAAAATTCGTTTCAAACAGGAAGTACGAATTTGCTTGAAATAACGCAAAAACAACCAATTTACACTTTTTAGTGAAATATAGGTGTCCTAATAGTGTTTTTAGCAGTGTGGGACACATATACGACTGTCAAAAGCTCAAAAAATGTGTTTTGGTGTTTCGTGACCCTTTAAAGGTGATCTTTTTTCCTGTCAGGACTCAGGGGTGCAGTTAGAAGTACCTCTAGCTGTGGTTGAGAAGATCTTGCTGAATCTGCCCGCTCATCAGGTGGTGCGAGTGTGTCGTCTGGTGTGTCATGAGTGGAAAGAGCTAGTGGACAGTGCTGCACACTGGAAAGGGCGCTGTAGGAGAGAGGGAATTCAGCCCTGTGATGCTTCCAGACCCCCAGAGGACTGGTGTCAGTTTTACATCCTAAATAAGAATCGACGTAACCTGCTCAAAAATCCCAAAGCTGAAGGTGAGCCATGTATTTAACATTGTGCAATAAATGGATGCACATTAATCTTTTTTGTTATTATTTGGTTGCTTTTGACTAGCTGGATTGCAAGGATGGGAGATTATGGGTAATAGAAAGGCCTGCTGGCTAATGGAAGAAAATAGAAAACCATTCCCGGACAACACAGTCACCAGATGTTATGTAGCATTTAATGGGTATGTTTGATATATAGATCTTTCGAGAAAGTTCTGCACTCTTTCTATTTCAGTCAGTGATACAAAATGTAAACAAAGCATGAATTAACCAATATCGTTGTCCCCAGGTTGTGTTTGAAGCGACAGCTGATTGATTTGCAGAAAGAAGGCTACAGTGCTGCTTTCATGGATCAACTGCAACCTGACATCAAAATCTCAGACTGGTGAGTATTCACACAACTCACAACTCATGCTACAGCATCTGAATTTTGCATTTATTGCGATTAATTCTTGTGAACAACTTCCCAGCTAGAAATTTGACGTTCCCAGAATGTTCTGAGAAGGTCACAATGTTGAGTTCTTTAAAGGTTTGGAGGACGTTATTTAGAGACCTCTACAGAACATTCAGAACGTTCTAATAATGTTTAGGGGACCATACTTTTTTGGAAATTGTGACGTTCTTAGAACATTCTCAGAACAACCCCGGTGGTGTTAAGGACGTTCTCTAGTAATGTTCCCAGAACGTTCTGAGAAGGTCACAATGTTGATTTCTTTAAAGGTTTAAAATTTCAATGTTGATTTCTTTAGGGGACCATACCTTTTTGGAAATTGTGACGTACTTAGAACGTTTTCATAACCTCCCTGTCATTGTTAGGGACGTTGTTTAGTAACATTCCCAGAACGTTCTGAGAAGGCCACGATGTTGAGTTCTTTAAAGGTGTGGAGGACATGTTTTGGGGGACCTTTACAGAACATTCAGAATGTTCTAAGAATGTTAAGGGGACCAAACTTTATTGGAAAATGTGACGTTCTCAGAACGTTCTTATAACATCCTTGTTGGTGTTAAGGCCATTGTCTAGTAACGTTCCCAGAAGGTCACGATGTTGAGTTCTTTAAAGGTGTGGGGGACGTTATTTTTGGGACCTTCACAGAATGTTATTTTCTTGTCCTAAATGTTAGAGACAGAAAGAGCTCAATCAATAAAATATTACTAAAATTGGCTTTATTGGCAGAAAACATAAAGCATTTGTCAAACAATTAAATTTTTAATATGCTGTGTCTGTGTGTTTGTGTGCGAGTCTTAGTCACTTTCTCTATCCTCCAGTTGTCTTTCTGCTGCCTGAAACAAAGCATAAATAACAATAATTACAATTAGGTTGCCTTACTTTTTGTATCTATTTTTTTTCTTTCAGATCTATACAGTGATGCTTGAGTCTTATAAAATAATTATAAATTAGTATATTTTGAATAAAAAAAATATAAATCTCCATATCTGCATCCCACTTATCTTTTTTAAAGAACTGCCACTCAAATATCTTTTGATAAGGAAACAGTGTTACACTCCACTGAAGATATCCATAGGCCTACATAGTTATCTTTGTTTGCTAAGCGCAAAAATTTGTTTAAAAACTACTTCTAAATTCAATTCTAATTTCCAGCAAACAAATAAATAAGCAATAATATAGAAGTGGGGTCAGAAAACTGAGTTGTATCCAAAAACACGTCCTGTTCATATGGCCCATACAGTCCAAAAACCCACAAGTGGACTAATCTAAGCTTGTTTTTAATAAACACATGTAAATATGCATATAATAAATAACAATAATAACATTATACAAAAGCAAGTTGTCGTAAAAAAACTGAAAAAAGCTCCCTGAGATGAAGGCAGTGGTTTTTTATATTGATGTAGAAAATAATATTTTTTGTCATATTTTATTCCTTTAATTCGTTTTCATTTGTAAGGATATCTGCGCTGCTTTCAGCTTGTCTATTACACACTTTGTTTTAGTTCCTTAAAATAGCAACGCACCAACAATGAATAAATAAACTGACCAAAACAGAACGTCCTCCTAAAGTCATATTGGAAACGTTATTATTATATAACTAAAGGAGGACCATGTGAAAACATTCTGTTAATGTTAAAAAGGTTCTCTTTGTAACGTTATTATGTGACCATAGAATGACCAAAACAGAACGTCCTCCTGAAGTCATACTGGGAACGTTATTTATGACTAAAAGAGAACGTTTTAAGAACATCCCTAATGTTCTGTAAAGGTTCTGGACTTTCATTACCTTTAGGGAATTTTCAGAGTTGTTGGTGTGAGTGGCAGCTTATTGCTATCTCCTTTTGTTTTATTAATTTCTCTCTCTCTCTCTCTCTGTCTCTCTGCCTTTCTCTCTCTCATTGAGCAGCGTTCCAAACCAGCCGCACCCGTTTTCAATCAGAGCAAATTGGATCGGTTGCTGTTGATTGAGCTTCCAGGCTTTATAAAGAGGCAGAGCGGCAAAGCACGGAGAGAGTCCCTGTTTTCCCTAACCCAGTGATTATAGTGTGATAGAGATTATTGTTGGATATTGAGAACTGTGAGCTTGTGAATCTCGTGAGATTGTAGTGTAAATAAGTGTGACGTGTAACTTTATGTGACAAGTAAGCCGTGTAGAGAGACGAGTGCTGATTTATTTGTTTATCCTTTAAGTTTCCTGTTATGGGGTAAGAGCATTGTCATTGTTTTGAGTTTTCTTTATATATATATATATTAGGAAATCTAGAACTTTTTTTCAATTTAGGAAGCTTTTTGTTTTGTTGGTTATTTTTGGCCTTACCCTCTCATAATGATTTTGGTTAGGATAATATTTATTTAAGTATCTCTTTGTTTTTGTTTACCCTGTCTGGAAATGTAAAAAAAATATTGAATTTTGTTAAACAATGAATAAAAGATAATATTTTTCTTTTGAAATCTCTTTTCAGAGTTTTTTTTTTTTGTTATTATTATATCTAAAGTGAAGGTATGCTGGGATAGAGAAAAAGGAGATTCTCCACGCACATTATTAAATATTAATTTATTATTAATTCGATCCAATTAAAATTTGATATTTTTTTTTAATTATCCTAATTAATTTTCTTTTGTTACTTTTGTCTCCGTACCCCTAGAAAAGGGACTAAAATGTAACACCATAGAATGACCAAAACAGAACGTCCTCCTGAAGTCATACTGGGAACGTTATTTATGACTAAAAGAGAACGTTTTAAGAACATCCCTAATGTTCTGTAAAGGATCTGGACTTTCATTACCTTTAGGGAACTTTCAGAGAATGTTGCGCAAGGTCGTGAGAACGTCGCCTCCTACCTGGGTTGTACCTTACCCTCTGGTAAAACGATAGACTGTAAAAGATATGGACGTTTTATCCTTGACATCACCCATAGTTTTCTGAAGAGCGCAATTGTAGCTACATGTAGGCGTGGCTAACTGTTGTCATTTGGTTTGCACGTCATTGCACCAAGAGGGGGTTACCAAAAAAGGGCAGAGGCGGAGTGTCAGTGGAGCTACAGATGCCTAATAGCATTTTGCAGGCAGGCTTTTCTTTGGGAGAAACGCTTAATACTTTATTACCTGCGACTCATTTGTGTTCTGACCACATTTGCTTGGTTGTACACTATATCAATAAAGTGTTTAGACTTTTAAAATCACTGTTGTAACACATTGAGCTACTAAACGTTGTTTTCTAAGTTACTTCCAAATACTTCAAATATAGTCTGTGTTAGTAAATGCAAGTCATTTATTAAATCCAGGCATAACACTTTAGGCCAACGTTTTAGATGACTGTTTTTTAGACGAATTACCATGTTAGTAAACATTCAGGATGCGCTCGCAGCGAGGTTGCAGAAAAAAACAGTAGTGCTTGCATTTACAGCAAGGGAATGACATCCGATGTGGTACAGAGTTTGCTGTTGTCTTAGAAATAAGTTATATTGATTACATATTATATATATTATTTACATAATGCTTTCAGCATATTATAACAGCTTGTCACCCAGTGATAAGAATAGTGATTCGGCAAAATTAACACTAAAGTAAGCGACTTTCGTCTGACAGGTCCATCTGCAATAGCAGCCTCCCAATGGATATTGGATAAGATAAAAAGACCAAGCATCCAGCCCCAAATATACAACCATCTTATTGAAGCTCCAAGTGATTTTACAAGAGAGAAGGCCTACAAGTCTTTGAATGCCAATACCATGACTCTAAATCATGTTTTCAACAGATGGAATCTTCAAAGAGTGATCATCCCTTGATTAAAAATATTTTAACTAAAGTTCACCACCTACAAAACAAATTTTACCTTATTTTTTTGGTGGATACCAGGACATGTTGGACTTTCAGGGAATGAACAAGCGGATGCAGCTGCTAAAGCTGCTCTAAAACAAGCTGTGAACAAATGTCAAACTTCTCTATCAGAGATGAGACTTTTTATTAATAATTACATTTTAAATAAGTGGCAAGAGGAGTGGGATACTCTGGAAAACAATAAACTACACAAAATCCAGCCTGAAATTACACACAGAGGTATAAGATATTTTAAGTAATGAGCTGATCAAGTAATTTTTACCAGATGCCGTATTGGACATACAAGATTAATACATAACTTTTTACTCAAAGATGAAGACCCTACCCAATGTTTGCACTGTAAGACCCCATGGACCGTAAAACACATTTGGACTGCCCTGCTTTTAATGACTCCAGAAAGACTTTTTATGATGAGAACTCTCTTAAGGACATTTTTAACAAAGTGACACCAGAAAAAGTATTAGAATTTTTAACATGTATTAATCAGAAAAATCTTATTTAAACTGTATATTCAATTATTTATTTTTACTGTTGATGTTTGTTAATTACTGAAATGCTCTTGCCATGAAAATAGCCTTAGTAGCTGACATGGCAATAAATAAAGAAATAATGAATGAATTGTAGTGGTAAAACTCAAGGTTCTGCCGAGCCTAAGACAAGAAAAAAAGACGGGACTATACAAGGCCTGGGTAATGATCATCAACAAGCAAAACTGCATTCTGACAGTGAACGGCACTTGTACAGCAGGGTATTTGAACTTATACTTTCACGTTTCATTCTAAGCATTCAGTGTCCGCAGTTTAATAAACCATATGTAACCATATGTTTTTGCTGAGTCTGAACTGCAGAGTGGAGCATTTTTAATGAGGATCATCACTTTATTCAGCTCTCTTTTAGCCAAAGACGTCTGCGGTTGGCATTAAAGCAGTGTGGTGTACGGTAAAAGTTAAGTTTTCTGTTTGAATTTGGCATCCTACCACACAACACCACATGTTTGATATTGCAACCAGTCTCTTTTTGCAACCGGGAACCCGTGTGACATAGGTTGGTAATTCAGCTATAGCCTACAGCTAATCAATCTGTCAGATTCTGAAGTCCAATTAAGTTCTTAAGAAAAGTATAAATGATAAATGATCTTAAATAAAACAAATACATTTATAGAGATGGTATATAAGTAAATCATTTCACTCACCTGGGAAATGGAGGCCACTTAAAGGGTTTGTGAACACAATTAGGTGAACACAGCATGCTATATTATCTGGTAATTGTAGGAAATAATTCCAAAAGGCAACTGACAGTGTAAAGCCACATAAAAAAAATTAAAACAAAAATATGATTTATATGCTTTATGATTTATGAATTAAGCGGCTAATCAGCCGCAATCATGTGAGGTGACTTAAGTGACAGCTAGGTCTCGCTGGTTGTCACTCAAGTGGCCCCATCTTTAATTATGCAGACTTAATATAAATTAATATAAACTAAACAGACGAGTTATAAAAAAAATTCACCCCCTCGCAGTTTTAATGAAGGGTAATATTAGCTATATCAGAGGTGGCCAACCCTGTTCCTGAAGAGCCACCCACCTGCAGATTTCAGTTGCAACCTATATCAAACACACCTGCCTGTAATTATCACGTGGTGTTTAGGTCCTAATTAATTGGTTCAGGTGTGTTTAATATGGGTTGCAACTGAAATCTGCAAGAAGGTGGCTCGCCAGGAACAGGGATGGCCACCCCTGAGCTATATGCACCAAAATCCTTTTTTGTACTAGACTGTAAACACCTTTTTCTTCTGCTGTAAAGTTGGCCATTTTAACATTGGGATCATTAGAAATGTGCTCTATTATGGAGCCAGGACTAGCGGAATTTCGATAAATTGCAGTTACTTCTGTATTAGCTTCACTGGGGAGAGCGGGATGTTGCCGCTTGGGTATAACACTGTTCCTGTTTTAAATTAGGCTCTAAAATAAAAACAGAAACACATTTGTTTGTTGTCTTATCTGCAGGTATACCACAACTGCTCCTTATGGAATTAGGTATCGGGTCTTTATGGAACTGCTTAATGAGGAGATGCAACCCATTAGTAGCTATCATCCGTATAGAATGGTTCTAGATGGGGACAATTATCCATGGTGTGAGGTGAGTAGAAAATACTGACGGTTCAGTTACTCAAACTAATAGTCAAAGCTTAACCATACCGTGTTTGTTCTGCTTTATTTCAGATAACGTGTGTCTTTCGAAATTATGGACCTGGTGTTCGGTTTATCTGTTTCACTCATGGTGGGTCGGCACAGTTCTTGAGGGGCCATAATGGAATAAGACTCACTAACAGCAGCGTGGAGATCTGTCCAGCTGCAGAGAGGTACAACTTTCCAGAAGGATTTCACAGGTTCTCAGATGAGGACTTTTAGGGTACTTTTACATCTGTAATTCGCTTTATTTGGTCGGACCAAGGGCAATAAATGATACATTGTTGCATTTTCTGCCGTCTTTGGGTCTTTTTCACACCACACTGCTGGCTTTGGTCCGAACCAGTTGAAAAGAACCAAAATGCAGTCATCTGACAAAATCCACATCTTTAATTGGCCTGATGTTGTTAAACATAGTTCCTAAACTGCTTATTGATTGGTCAGAATTCATGTGGGAGAAAATGCCAATGAACTCCCGCAAGTAAACAAAACCGGCAGAGACAAAATGTCACTTTTTACTATGGAGGGACGACTGCGCTGGCTGATTGTATCCCTGCTTTAGACAAACTATACATTTCGAGAATAAAGAGCGGCCGCGGCTGGAAAACAATGTTTAAATGCATCGCTCGTCACTTCAGGAGGAGGCGTTAATTAATTTAGCTAAACTGCGACATGCTCATCTTCCGGAAATATTACCAACTAACTCTCTGTTGGTAAAGTGCTGTCAACAAATATTTTTCCTCCATGTCCCGTAATGCACAGCGCATCAGCCTACGGTAGCTGGATTAGTCCAAAAGGTGCAGTACTTTTTGTGGTTGGGTCTGTTTTAGTACGGATCATACTCTCCAGGGTTCGTTTAAAAGCGTACTGAGACCACCTCTTCAAGCAAGTCTCGATACGTTATTTTGGTCCCCTTTTGGTGCGCACTCGAGTTTGATTGCTGCATTTATACCTGTCCAAACAAACCGCACCAAGAAGGAAAAATAACTAGTACGATTCAACCGAACTAAATAGAAAGGTGTAAAAGCACCCTTAAAGCATTTTAAAGTGCAGTAAATTAGTATGTTTACATGCACTCTCATAATTATAATAGGATTTTGGCAGTATTCTCATTGAACTACACATTAAGTAAACACAATGCTTTGATAAAACTCATTTGATTAAACTCATAATAACTTGACATATAACTTTACCTCTGAACCACAAAGCTATTGATGCAGCTCACTAGACACATAGACAAGCCACAAATAAACTGATATGAAACAGATGTGCCTTTCTCAAACTCATGATCATTGTTGCTCTATTACTGACAATGGTTTACGTTTAAAGTGATATTCATGATGGCGCCAAGTAACCATCCATGAAAATGTGTTTTGCATTCGATGCCAGTAGATTAAAACAGTGATCATTTATGTGTCTAATGTAAAAATAAAGTAAAAAAAAATAAACGCTTCTCAAAAACAATTTGAAATTTTTTTACATAAGTAGCCCTTACTGTATTTATTGGGAAATAATCACATTTACCATATATGGAGTTTCATTCATGTTATGATATTGTAGAGGCTAAGCCTATTGCTTGAAGTCCCTGAGATGTTGTTAGACAGGCACCCAGCTGACGCACACTGTCCTCTGGCTGATGAAGTGTAAATGAACAGTCTTACTTGTGCCCGTAGATAATTATGTTTATTGCAGTTGCAAACTCCAATAGTTCACAAATTTCCTTCCAGGTAAGTTTCCGTTCGTAGAAGTCAAACACTGCCACATATCGTGACTTACAAACAAAACAAACCGTCATGCTAAAGCATGAATGAATGTGTGTGTGTATATGGCTGTGTGTGCACGTTTGTTTGTGTGTAAGTGTGTGTGTCTCTCTGTGTGAATGCTTATAAAGCCTGTTTAGAGAGCCCCACCTAGTGGAACAATGAACAGTTGCCAAATGGCTCCTACAGATATAGTCAGTTACCTGTATGCTCTGTCATAATCTAGATACTTGGATGTAAATACCAGCATTGGATTGCACAGTAATTTACTACCGAATACATTGTTCTGCTTATGCTGTCTAATCCATGGGAAAATGCATATAAGCTGTCAGAGAACCTCTTGGTAAGAGGGAAAACTGAAATGTTCAAACTGATTTAATAAATAGGATGTTTTCTTTTTGATTTGTTTGTGAATTTTGTTCATCTTTAGTACTACAAATGTTTTTTTGTTTTTGTTTCTTTGGTCTGATTAGTACAGACCAAAACATGACAATAATTGATCATTTTCAGCAGCAATAATCAGCAAAATGTCCAAGTTTCATTTGGTTCAATGGCTTCGCTAACAGATTTTCAACATGTCTGACTGATGACTCATCACAAAAACACTACTGACCTTATTCTTCAATGCGGAAGTGTGCTCGTTTTTGCGATTTGTTTTAGAACTTCCGATTCAGTTGCCTATGGGAGAAATGACTAAGAATACAAGCAAGTGTTTGCTTGACTATACAGACAAAGCAGAATAATATAATAAGAAAATATCAGTTTGCAACATCAAGCAGCATAGCGAGCTGTTTTAACGTTCAAAAATGAATGGAAGTGAAAGAGATCGTAAATCTCAAGTCAAAAAGATTAAAATGACTGTGCCTTCTCGTACACGAAGAAGGTAAATTTGTTAGGGACAAAACAAATAAACCTGTAAGAACAAGACACTTCACTGCAAGACATTTATGGTTCACAAGTTTGATGTCCGTTAATTGTGTTTCAGTACAGCAGAATGTTTTTATATTGTGTAACCTTTTAGTTTGTTTCCACCTGTAGGTTGAGATGCACGAAATCCAACTTGCTGATTAATCCCAGTGCAGAAGGTGAAGACTGTACAATAAGACTGTTGCTATAATCATTCTATTTTGCATTAAGTAACTTCTCTTATGTTCTCATTAGACGGACTTCAAGGATGGAAGATGGTACATAGTGGAAGCGGCTGCTGGGTGACAGCAGAAAATAGCAAACCTCTTACAGACACAGTCACCAGATGCTTTGTAACGTCTTTTGGGTACGGTTGATCATTTAGATCCTTAAATTTCAGTCAGTGTTGCAATTAAATAATAAATCAATAATTAAACACCAATCAGCAATAATCTTTGTTCTCAGGTTATGTTTGAAGCGACAGCTGATTGATTTGCAAAAAGAAGGCTACAGTGATACTTTCATGGATCAGGTGCAACCTCATATCAAGATATCAGACTGGCGAGTATTCATTCAAATATATTTTTCTTAGTTTTGTTTTATGTAAAACATTTGTAACCCACTGGTCTAACTGCACTCAACGTGCTCTGAGCTGGGATTGAACCGGCAATTCTATGCATGGGAGTCGGTTGCTCTAATAAGGAGACTAAAGACCATGGCGTCTAATGTCTGTCGCTTGGTGAAGTTTATTCATAAACTAATTTCAAGAGGATCACGTGATTATGATTGAACACGGCTGGTTCTGCATTAGCATGTATGATCCACCAATCAGGCCATTCCTAACCCACTATAAAGAGCCAGTGTTTTTTCACTACAGTCATCTTCGATTTGAAGAATCCCCCCCTTCCACCCCTACCTCTTTACCTTTCCCTCCATAGGGTGGCATGGTAGCCCAGTGATTAGCACTGTTGCTTTACAGCATACTACACCGGTTCTAGTCCTTTAACAGGCCGGCGGTCTTTTCTGTGTGTAGTTTGCATGTTCTTCCTGTGCTCGCGTGTGTTTTCCCCGGGTTCTCCGGTTTACTCCCACATTCCAAAAACATACACTTCAAATGAATTGATAAATCTAGATTTAGCACTACAGTCAATCCCTCCCCCTGCAGCATATCTCTTCATAGCATTCATTTTAGTCATCAGCTCTTATCAAGAGTGGAGTTGTCGAGATCTGCCTGAGCTCAAGGCTCCCCTCTCGCCTTGCAAACGGGAGGGAGCCCAGGGCTCAAGGACCTTTTGAGCTCAGGGCTCTCTCCCGAGCTGGCCTCGTTACACTCACCCCCCTAAACCTCACTCCCATCCCGGATGATCCCCCACATGTAACCCACCGGTCCTTCTGCACCAAACCCGCTCTGAACTGGGATCGAAATGGCTATTCTTTGGCTTGAAGTCGGCTGCTCTAACAGGGAGACTAAAGACCATGGCCTATAGCGTCTGTCGCTACACCACCTTTAGAGGTCAGAGGAGAGAGGTTTACCTGCATAACACTTTGCTACCCGGCCTCTGTTATACACATATTTAAATATGTCATTAAATGAATGGTTCACCTATGTATTCTGTCTTCCTGTTGTTCCAAGCTATTTTGACTTTGGACTAAACATTAAAAAACAAACACCTTAGGAATAGGGAAATTCTAACAGGCAATATTACAACACTATTGACTTGAATTTTCATTTTTGCTGGAACTGTTCCTTTATAAACCAACCCAGGCTCATTCTGAAAATGTAGTCCCGCGGACGTTTCTGGAGACCGCAAATTACGTAGCTGGAGGTATGTATGGCTGCATTTCATTAAGTGAACGATACAGGGCGGTATGACGCCTTTCCTTTTGGTGCTCACTGTCTGACTGCTTACCTCCGCGTGGAGGGCTTTCCCGCCACAACCAGTTTGTCCGGTTAGCTCATAGTGTACGTCAGCGGACTTAAGACGCAGAGAAGGAGTTGATGACGACGACCGGGTTTGAGTCCGGGGAAGAGCGGTTCCAGAAATCAGGTAAGACAAAAACAGAATACAAAGAATAAAACGAACGAGTGAACAACAGGGTGAGAATGTGGTAAAATCCAAAAACGTGGTAAAAAAATCTGACGAGGGCTTTTTTTTCTGGACTGCTTTATTTTAAACCATCGGTTTGGTTTAGGGGAAGTGAATGGGTGGGCGGATCAATCGGTAAAATTGGTTGGGTTTAGGGAAGGAGGAGGGTGTGTGCGTCGATTGACCAGTCGCCCAGTCAATCATTCAGCCGGTCAGCAGCAGCGCGAGCGGCACTCGCGAGAGACATTTGAGATGCGAAAAAGCACACAAAGCAGCTTCTTGGGGATTTGTGAAAACAAAAACTGCAAAAATACATACCTCCCGAGACATAATTCGCGGTCTCTAGAAACGTCCACAGGACTACGATTTCAGAATGAGCCTGGGTTGTTAAAAAACACTGTATAAGCTTTAAACTCAAATAGGCTTTACTATGAATGCACAGCTTTGTTAAAAAGAAAACATTTATTTTATAAATCCAGAATCAAACAAAAAGTGCTTCAGCAGTAATTGATGTGTCGGGGCTCTTTGGTTCAGGAATTCTTAAACATTTTTTAACTTTCTCCATTTACTTTTCAAGTGCCTTGAACTTACGATTTTGTTTGTGTCACATTAATTTTATATTTGTCTGGCACAGGTATGAACCACGTTTTGATTGTGGATGTGAGTATCAGATCTGTGTGGAGTTGCTTGATCAGGAGAACAAACCCATCAGTACCTTTGAGCCTGAAAAAGTTGTATTTCACTTTGGGAACTCTCAGCCGTGGTGTCAAGTAAGTAAAGTAATACAGAAGGTCCAATAGGCTATATGCACGGGCACTTAAAATTTTGAATAAGCCTGTTTAACATCTGGTTTGTTTTAAATCAATGATGTACACTGCCTGATTAAGACACACTATATAGAAGGACTCACACTAATTACATAATCTATGCTGCAACAAGAACCTTATGAAATGAAAAACTCACAATAACATTTTACAAGTTTTAAGTTTTTTAATGGCCTCAAGGGTGCCCAAACTTGGTCCTGGAGGGTGTGCAGCAAAGTTTTACTTCCATCGTCAAAAAGACAACCTGGGTTAGCAAATCAAGTTTTTACTAGGCTTTCTAGAAACATCCATGCAGGTAAGTTGGAGCTAAAATCTGCAGGACACCAGCCCTTCAGGACCGAGTTTGGGCACCACAGATATGTCCAATTATCTATAATCAAATGAACAGTCAAAGCCTAACTGTCCCTGTTTGTTCTGCTCTATTGTAGACGGCACATGTCTTTAAAAACTATGGAGCTGGAGTTCGATTTATCAGGTTCACTCACGGAGGAAAGGATACACACTACTGGGCAGGTCATTATGGAATCAGAGTCACTAACAGTAGTGTGGAGATCTGTCCAGATGATGAGAGGTGGAGCTTTCTAAAACATTTTTTATTACTTTTTAAAAAAGTAAATGCAGAATGCAGAAAAACAATGCTTGGAGCCATTTATTGTGAAACAAAACATTAACAATGAAAAAAAAGTGCAAATTGGAACAATTTAGGTAGAAAAATTCAGAAATGTTGCATGGAATATGAGGGCTCCCTGACCCTCCATAGACCACAATAGCTCTGACTTGTTCAAAGTCAAGAAAAGGTTCCAAACACATTTTAAAAACAGTCCATGTGTCTTAAGTGGTGTTAAACCTTGTTCAACCTGATTATTATAAAGCTACATGAATACAAAACCAAGACTTAAGACTTTATTCAACAGTTTCTTCTCCTTGGTGTCAGTATAGGGCGCACTTTCATAAACGCTGTGCACTAATGTATACCCCGGAAGCCTGCACATAACTTCCTCTGTTTGATATAAAGCACAGGCACATACAATGTAATACATCAGCAGCATGACGGAGCACAACATGCTCTCCTGAATGCGTGCCCCATACTGACACTGAGTCCAATTTTGTTTTTGTTTTTTTACTTTGTTGGGACCATTACTGTGCATGGATGATGGTGAGCTCTTGGATACCATCTAAAATATCTTGATTTGTAGTCCAAACATGAGTGAAAGTCTCAGGGAATTAGAATGACATATTAATAACAGAATTTTCACTTTTGATTGAACTACATATTAAGAGTTGGTACTGCTGCTTGGAAGAGGTACTTAAAGTTAATGTGAAATGAGCTAATACAGGTTATGTTTAGTAATATACAGTTGTCCACATTTAAAACGTACCTTCTTTTTCCACACAAAGCACCAGATTCATAAATCGTAATTTGATCAAGAATCCCAGCGCACAAGGTAATTTCATATACTTACTTAACTTAATACAACAATATACTTAATACAACAATAAGCGTCACTAGCTTTAAGTAACATGTCTTTTCTGGTGTACTTATTAGCTGGACTTCAAGAATGGGAGCTTGTCGAAAACAGAGGCCACCAATGGGTGACAGCTGAAAACATGCGAACATTTCCGGTCGATACATGTTTTGTAACATCTTACGGGTATATCTGATATTTTACATCCTTTACTTTAATCAATGTTACAACATTATAAATGCACTAATTCCATTCACATTTTGTCACCAAAATAATTGTTCTCAGGTTGTGTTTGAAGCAACAGCTGATTGATTTGCAGAAAGAGGGCTACAGTGATATGTTTATGGATCAACGGCAACCTCATATCAAAATCTCAGACTGGTGAGCGTTCACACAAACTCTCTGTTTGTACTACAGTATCTGAATTGGTGGATTCCGTAAATGAGAATAATTCTTGTGAATGAGCTGTCTGTGAATAATCTTTGTGATGAATGTTTTGTCTCTTTTGGAAGTATCTACATAAGCTTGATTTAGTCTTGGCTTGTGGTACTATCCACTCCTTTCCACTCTTTCTGTCAAGTTTCCTACACAATAGAGGCAAAATAAATCTTCAATCTAGCTGCAATGTTTAGGGCTCAAGTACTAAAGTATATTCTTTATTATTTAGTAAGCTTATTACCACTTAAAACATTGATGAAAGGGGGACTTTTTTAGCCATTTAAGGAAATTTGCCATCGAAATACAGTATTTTGAAAGCCACCGATTTTGTAAATAAAAACTGTCTTTTTTAGAATTCCATGTGCTCACCTAATTTTATTATTATATCTTGAGTTTTCGTTAAGGTTTTGAATATAATTCGCTATGACAATGTAAATTTTTCTGTTATAGCTGCAAATGCTGACAAAGTCTGACATGTTTAATACATTTTGACTATAACCTAAAAGTGGTTTGTGAAAGAAGGTTTTTCAATTAAGTTGTAATATTTAACAG